CGCCGATCCTCCTGCTCGATCCCCAATCCTTTGGGGGGGGGGCTCTCACTCGATCTTACATGATTCTGCGTTCACCTCCTGCCTCTTCCCCTTCTCTTAGGCACACCATGGCGGCGCCGCCCCAGCGTCCCCTTCTCCATCTCCGATCCCGCCGTCATGGTGTCTTCCTGCTTCAAACGCCCTTTCAGTTATTTTTGTATGAGCCTGGGCACACACGTGCCACTGGTAAATACATATATATAGATATATATATATATATAAAGCTATACAAATATATATATATATATATATATATATATATCCACTCCCAGACAGGATCGCGCCGTACAAAACAAAAATCGAGACGGGAGGTTCTTGTGGGCGTGTGCGGCCTAACTTTCTCAGTGCGGGGTCCCTGGAAGTCCCGACCCTTTCCCCAGAACCGGCTTTTCATTCTGAGCCGTTTTTGACGATCCCAAGGCCCGGCGAGGGCCCCTGGAGGCCGAAAACTGCCAAAAACCTCCCGTCCTGATTCTTTAACGACGCGATGATTTCTGCGTCAAGAAGCGACTCAGGACGGGAAACTGGTCCCGGGGAAAGGGACTTCCGCGTCGTCGCCTGCCTGGGCCTCCCGCCGTGCTGCCGGGCCGCCGCTCTCCTGGCCGTTTGTACGTGAGGCCCCGCTCTCCTGGCCCGCCCTGGAAAGAAAATGTGTGCGTGTGTGTGCGTGTGCGCGCGTGTGTGCGTGAATGCGCGTGTGTGTGCGCGCGTGTGCGTGTGTGTGTGTGTGTGTGTCTGTGTGTGCGCGTGTGCGTGTGTGTGTGTTTGTGTGTGTGTGTGTGTGTGCGTGCGTGTGTGTGTGTGTGTCCGTGTGTGTGTGCGTGTGTGTGTGTGAGTGTGTGTATTTGTGTGTGCGTGTGCGTGTGTGTATGTGTGTGTGTGTGTCTCTGTGTGTGTGTGTGTGTCTGTATGTGTCTGTGTGTGTCTCTGTGTGCGCGTGTGTGCGTGCGTGCCTCTCCACCCTCCCTCCTCCCTCGCGGCCGCTTTCGCTTGTCTTCCCCTCCATCTGCCGCCGGCGAATCTGCGCTTTCCGTTGCCGGGACAGCCTGGGCGCGCGTGCAGACTGTCCCCGCCGCGCTGTGACGTAAAAGCGCGTGCGCGTGTATGCGGGTCCTCACGCTGAGCACGCTGTTGCTCTCCCTTGTGCTCGCCTGGCGCAGCCCTAAGCCCTTGCTGATCGTGGCCCGCAGCAGAAGTGGGTGTGCGTGTATGTTGTGTGGGTGTGCGTGTATATTGTGTGCGTGTGGGTGTGCGTGTGCGTGAGCGTGAGTGTGAGTGTGAGTGTGAGTGTGAGTGTGAGTGTGAGTGTGAGTGTGAGTGTGTGTGTGTGTGCGTGTGCGTGTGCGAGTGTGTGTGCGTGTGCGTGTGCGTGTGCGTGTGCGTGTGCGTGTGTGCGTGTGTGTGTGTGTGTGTGTGTCTGTGTGTGTGTGTGTGCGTGTGCGTATGGGCGTATGTGTTGGCGTCTGCCCGACTCCGCCGCGTCCCAGCGCGCGCGGCAGCGACGCCAAAAAGTGCGTGCGTGTGTGTTCGAGGCCCCCTCTCCTAGTCCTCACGCCCTCCTGCACGACGTGCATGTGCCTTCTCCGCCCATGCACCCACCAAGTTCTGCCTTTTCGCACGTGCGCTCACCCAGTGCAGCTACCCAGCCACCAGCAAAGCCTGGCTTGCACCTTCACGCTGCCTTGCTTGTCGCCGCTAGTGGATTACTCTCCAGCGTACCCCGCCTTCAACTCTCGTTGCAGTGCCTGACGGCACTCCGCCGCTGAAGCCTCCCAAATGGGGTCGGAGTACGTAGATGGGGTCGGAGGATCGCGCCGCATCGCCGATGCATCACCAACGCATCACTAATGCATCGGCGATGCACCGGCGACGTCGCCGATGCACTGGCGACGGCATCGTGGAGAAAAACGGCCTCCACATCGAGTTGCATCCTCGATGTATCGGCGATGCGGCGCGATCCACCGACCGACCCCATCTACTCCGACCCCATCTAGGAGGCCTAGATTCCGATAACAGCAAAAGGAGAAGAGGCGGGTTGGGGAATCCGCCGACCCAGTCCGCGTGTGTGAGATGCCCTTCGACGCGAGGCCAGCCCAACCCAAACTGAGGTACGCCAGCCTCCTTTGAACCGTCGTCTTCGTAGAGGAGATCGAACAAACAAAGGAGATCGAACAATGTCGCACTTACGTCGAGGGGAAGAAGCCCCTTCCCTTTGTCCCTTGCCCGCCGGGCAGGGGGGGGGCCAGGAGGGGACCAGGGGGGTGGCCTTGGCGGCACGCCGAGGGGGGTAGGGGAAGGAGGGAAGGCTTCTTAGAAAGAGGCTGCTTCCTAGAAGGCGTGGGCCTTACATCTACAGACAAGGCGCGTTGCCTTCTAAGAAGCAGGGGTGCTTTCAAGTAGACTTCCCCTCTGCGCGTGGCCGATGGCCACAGGGGAGGTCCAGGCGAATAGAAGGAGGACAAGTCGGCAGGAGAGCTCCCCGCCCCAGCCCCGGCCCCGGCCCCGGCCCTCCCGGCCCCGCCTGAGCCCCGCGGCCCCACACCCCGGCCCCGGCCCCAGCCCGCCCCCGAGGAGACAGACAGCTCTCCTCCTCCTCCTTCTCCTTCTCCTCCTCCTCCTCCTCCTCCTCCTCCTCCTCTCCTCCTCTCCTCCTCCTCCTCCCCCGGCTCCTGCCTCCCCCTCCCCCCCCCCCTGCCGCTCCCCTGTCTCGCCCCCCTCCTCCGCCTCCTCCTCTGCCGCCTCCTCCTCCTCCTCCTCCTTCTCCTCCTCCTCCTCCTCCTCCTCCTCCTCCTCCTCCCTCCACCGTCTGCCCCATGTCCCGAGCCCGTGGCAGGGTCATAAGCTCGTCGTCGTCGTCGTCGTCGTCGCCGTCGCCGCCGTCGTCGTCGTCGTCGTCGTCGTCGTCGTCGTCGTCGTCGTCGTCGTCGTCGTCGTCGTCGTCGTCGTCGTCGTCATCGTCGTCGTCGTCGTCGTCGTCTCCTTTGTCGTCGCCGTCGTCTTCGTCGTCGTCGTCCTTCTGGGTCGGCGGCACCGGCCGCAAGGCCTTCTCAATGGGAAGTCGACGCTCCCAGGAGAGCTGCAGCCGGGACAAGGGTGAGGACAGGGCCACGCGCTCCGAGGCGCTCCTTCTAGATAAGGGACCGTGGCCGTCCGGACCAAACACGTGGACAGCACTGATGTGAAGGGGCCCCAGGACACACGAATAAATACACACAAATAAAAAAGATTCCCCAGAAATTCCTATATTTTCTGGGTTTCTGTCTTCCCCCCACTTCCCATATTTCCCCATATTTTCTAGGGGTATCGAAGATTAATTGGGTCTGTGTGTTTCTTTTCCTCCTGATGATGGGACGCACAGAGACATACTAATACTGTAGGTCCTCTCCTCCTTGGAGGCGCGCGTCCGACCCGAGCATATTGTAACCAATTTTGTGGGATATCGTGTCTCGAGCGGTGTGGCCAGAAAGCGCCCGCCACGGCGCATATACTATGAGATTTCTCGGTGCGCGCGTCGCCCCTGGGGGGGCGACGCACATGTAGTATAATTATGTTGGGGTGACGCCGAATTGGGGCGAGAGCACGATTCCTGAATCAACTGTGAAGACATCTCCGGCGAAACGGCTGCCAGACAGCACGTTATCGGCCTCCCCGCCCCCTCCATGTGGGACTCTCCCGTGGCCCTCTCTTTCGCTCTGCTGCGGCCCCCGAGCGAAACGCTACTAGGTTGGCATGGGCGCTCGGCCGCTAGTTCCTCAGATGGGGACAAAGCCACCAGGAAGTGCGAGCCACGTGGAAGTGCAAGCCACGTGGAAGCCCAAACCCACCAAACGTGCAGACGCCGTTCTTGAGCCGCGGCCGGCGGGAATGCTGGCGCGTCGGCCCTCGAGGGCCCACAGAACCCACCCAAAACGCGTCCTCGAGAAGGGGGTCGAGTGGTGGACGTGTGCCCCCAGACATGCGACGCCCTGATTTTTCCAACACGGGGTCTCTGGAAGTCCCGACCCTTCCCCCGGGAACGGTTTTTTCGCCCTGCGAGTCGTTTTTCGACGGTCCCGAGGCCTGGCGCGGGCTCCCAGAGGCCGAAAACGGCCACAGGCCGCCTGCCGTGCTTTTTGTCTGCGATGCGAGCATGTCTGGGGTCCCAACTATGAAGGAAGAAGCTCGTTCCGCCACCGCGCCACCTCCCGGCCGGGAGGAGGAGGAGGAGGAGGAGGAGGAGGAGGAGGAGGAGGAGGAGGAGGAGGAGGAAAAAGGAGGAAGAGGAGGAGGAGGGGAGGAGGAGGAGAGGAGGAGGAGGAGGAGGAGGAGGAGGAGGAGGAGGAGGAGGCCCCCCACCTCCTCCGCCGCCGCCCGCCCGTGCCAGGCCGACTCCGGGCCTCCGCTGGCCAGACCCCCCGTCGACGGCTCCGAGCACGCCGCCCTCGTCGTTGCAGCCGCGGCCCTCGTCGTCGCTGCCCCGGGTGCGTCCCCAGACGTGAGCGCGTCGCAACGCAAAGCACGACGGGCGGCGGTGTTTGGCCAGCTTCGGCCCCATGGGAGCCCTCGCCGGGCCTCGGGGCCGTCAGCACTCGACTCGGGACGGAAAAAGCTGGCCCCGGGGAAGCAGGGTCGGGACTTCCAGGGACCCCGTGCGGAGAAATTCAGGACCTCGCACGTCTGGGTCGCTCTCGTCCCTCGGATATTCGGGGTCGGCCAAGAGGGGGGCGTCCAAGAGGGGGGGGGGCGCAAATCATGGCCAGCGGCATGTGCGCGGCGCAGTGGTGGGCCAGGGAACGCATTCGAGATAAGAAGGAGGGGCCATGCAATCTGGGAAGATATCCTGGCCCCCGCCATGATATCCCCCCCCCCCTGGTCATCCCCCACCCTTGGCCGCCACTAAGACATCTCTGGCCTCGCCGCGGGACCGAAGAGCATCGAGGGGGGCGGGGGTCTCGTGCGCGTTACCTCGCGGCCCCGAGGGCCTGCCCTCAGCGGCGAGGTGCGGGAACTCCCTGCGGAGCGTGTGCCGAGCGAGCTGCTCGAGCTGGCGCTTCCCCACCTCGCGAGGCGGGATGGGGGGGGCACGAGCCCAGGCATGCTACCGTCGTTAAAAAATCAGGACGGGAGGTTTTTCGCCGTTTTCGGCCGCTGGGGGCCCTCGCTGGGCCTCGGGACCGTCAGAAAACGACTCGGAACGAAAAACCGGTCCAGGGGAAAGGGTCGGGACTTCCAGGGACCCCGTCTGGAAGAGATCAGGACGTCGCATGTCTGGGAGGGCAGGTCGGCCCAGCAGAGGCGGGGCACAGCGGGGGGAAGGAAGAGGAGGAGGAGGAGGAGGAGGAGGAGGAGGCGGAGGAGGAGGAGGAGGAGGAGGACCTCAGGAAGAGGAGAAGGAGGATGAGGGCGTCTGCGGGGCGGGGATCTACGGTGTGGAACTCTTGCTCGGCATGTCGCGGCGGCGGGCCCCCCTGACACCGCCCCGCGAGCGGCTGGCGTTTCCGCTCCGCTCCGCGGGGCGGGAGGCTCAGAAGAGCTCGGGATGTTGACGCTGCGGGGGGCCGTGGGCCAGAACCAGCGGAGCGACACGCTATAGCCAAGGTGCCCGACCGTATCTCCAGATCCACCGCCTGGGGCACTGACGTCTTGGATCCCCGGCGGGCGGTGGACGTGGACATCTTTCGGCCCCGGGGGGCCCGACTATGTGCATCCATACCCACTGCTTGCCGAGGCCCCCAAGATAGGTGCCCCAAGCGGTGGTTCTGGACACATCCGCGCCCCGGAGCGTCGCCGAGGGGGGAAGGCGAGAGGGGGACAGGCCCCCTCCGAAGCTCTGGGTTCGAGGCCCCAGGCTTTCGGGCGTGGTCGTCGGTCCTCGGCGGCCCTTCCGCCGCGGGAGGCGCTCCAACGGCTGCGCCTCGCCGAGAGCGTTCCCGGGATCGTCCCCAAGGGCCGCTGGGGATCCGAGCTGTGGCCCGGAAACCGAAGGTGCGGCGGGGCCGCGGAGAAGGCTCGGAGAAGGCCTCAGGAGGCAGGAGGCCTTCTGAGCCCTCTGAGGTACTGCCGCCCCAAGAGCGGGCAGCCTATTGAAATCTGGGAGTTGTTCACAGTGGGAGATGAGTATGGCACGTGTTTTAAATCGCGAATCGGGCGACGCATGAATGTGAACATGCCCGGAGTCGGAAGTTTGGCCAAAGTAAGCTCGGGTTTGGAACTTTGAAAAACGTTTGAACAATGGTGGTGCAGTACACACAGATCTGGAGGCTTGAAACACTTTGAAAAACTTACAACACATCGATAGCTAAACGTTTGAAAAAGTACGCCCGGATTTGGTAGTTTATAGACTGTTGAAAGATTTGTTTGAAGAAAACGCCCAGATGTAAAAATTCCAAGAATTAAGGAATCACATTTGAAACAAGCTTGAAACACGTACGCCCGGAATTGGAAGTTTGACACATCACGAAACAATTGAGAGATGTACGCCTGGACTTGAAAGTTTGAAAACACATATTCAAACAACTTGGAAAAAGTTGGAAACAAATCAGCACGGATTCGGAAGTTTGAAACAAGGTTGGAACAGCTTGAAACAAGTACGCCCATATTTGGAAGATGAAACAATCATAAAAAATTGAAACAACAATTTGAACATTTTTGGACATTGAATTCACACGTTGTTCCGTATGTTTGTTCATACTTCCATGTTCCTCTGTCTCACACTCGAACTTGCGCTTTGCTTTGATTTCGCACATTTGGCAGACTTCGAATGTCCCGCGCCCGTTTACTGGTTTGCTTGCCCAGGGCGGCATAACTCTGAGGGAGAGAGAGGGAGGCAACTTCTGGGAGGTCCTCGCAAGAACGACGAAGGTTTACTCAGCATTGCGGGGCCATCAAGTCGAGCGGGATCAGGCCAGAACATAAACGGATCGGATTGAAGTGGATCTCAACCTAGGAGATCTACCAGCGCCAATGCTCAATTCTAACGCCCCAGGGCGTGCAACCGAGAGACGGGGAGGGAGGATGGACGATCGAAGGAGGAGGAGGAGGAGGAGGATGAGGAGGAGGAGGAGGAGGGATTAAGCCCGCCAGCGCATCGAAAAACTCCGTGCGGAGGTTTCCCCCCCGGCTTCGGTCCCCGGGGGCCCTCGCCAGGCCCAGGAGGCCGCCCAGGCAGAGGCTGAGGACGAGAAGCCAGCCCTTGTCCTGGCGGCGCGCATAAGGGGGGTGGAGGGAGGGGGGGGGGCTTCTTTGAAGGAGGCTGCTTCTTAGAAGGCGCCGGCCTTACATCTATGGATAAGGCCCGCGCCTCCTAAGAAGCAGGGGTGCTTCTAAGAAGCCCTCCCCCCTCCCCCCACCCACCTCTGCGCGTGGCTGATTGTCTTCTGGGGACCCCGCGTTGAGCAAGTAAAGACTTAGGTCGGGCATGTCTCCGTACAGGCAGATTTTTTGACGCAGATTTTAACATAGTCCAAACATGCCCCCCAAATAAATCAACATACTAGAAAAATCGTCCCCATACTACTTTATGGCTAGTCTTGAATACTCCTCCTGTAGAAGGACGCTCCCGACTTAACCCAAGACATCGGATGTTTGGGACGAGGCAGGGAGCGCGGAAGGAGGAGAGACCGGGCAGGAATGAGCAGGATGGGGCAGCGAAGCAAGCATGCGGAGGCAGGGAGGACAGAACGACGAAGGAAGGAAGGAAGGAAGAGGAGGAGGAGGAAGGAAGATGAAGGAAGGAGAATGGAGGCAGGGAGTTGGGAGGAAGGAAGATAGAAGAGGAGTGGAGGGGGAGGAGAGACGCAATTGGAGGAGGGAGGAGGGAGGGAGGGCAGGAAAGAGAGAGGAGGAGGGGCGAGAGAAGGACAAGAGGGGAGGAGGATGTAGACTCGGAGACGGGAAAACAGGAGCACCAGCAGCAGCGCGAGCAGGAGGAAGAGAGGATGATTAGAAGACGAACGACCCGGAGATCCTGGCGTCTCAACTCTCTGAGCCGGGCGTTTTCGCTTTCCTCGGGCCCCGGGGCCCTCACAGATCGATCCGGCTCGGAAAACGAGGCAGACAGATGGGGACTGGAGCTCCGGGCGTGATGTTTTTACGATGCTGCAATTGTTCCGCTACGTCGGATCTCAGGGGTGGCGGGAGGGGGGAGCCCCCACCCTGGGTGCTTGCCCCCCCCGAGCGGCAGCGTGGCAGCGCACCCACCACAGGGAGGATCACCACCAGCCCCGTCCCGCCGTACCCGGTCCACGCTTCCCTGCTCGCTCTCCCTTCCCCCCCTCCCGTCCCTCCCTCTCTGGGGGCTGGCCGCCCTTGCCTGTCGCTTGCGCCTCCTCCGCACAAATCCTGCTCCTCCTCCTCCTCCTCCTCCTCCTCCTCCTCCTTCATCCCTCTTCCTTATGAATAGCTCCTCCCTGTCGCACCCCAAGATCGGTCGGTAGGGCGGGCTGGGCGTTTCACCACTTGGGATCCTGAAGTTTACAATTCGCAACAGTTTCACAGATGGAGGGCGGGTCTTTTTAACGTGTGTCTGTCGCCTAAACGCTGCACACAATCGTCTCAAAAGTTTGCAAGAGTTTCACGGATGGGGGGCGGCTGGTTTTCAATATGTTGCTTAGGCGCCGCGCATATTCAATTAAAAAATAGCAAGAACTTAACGAATTGAAAACGTCTCCTTTTGAACATGTTGGTCGTGCCTAGGCACCGTGCACATTTTGCTTACAAGCTTGCAACGGATGGAGGGCGGCTCATTTTCAAAACGTAGCTCTCGCCTTAGCACCGCGCACACCCGCCTTACAAGTCTGCAGCAATTTTACGGGCTCTTATGGTTGGAGCCCCACAACCGGTGTTTGGCACAATGTAGGTGTCAGGGCGCGAAAATCACGTTGCCTCGCGGTGCTGATGTCCCAGAAACGGTGTTCTAGCACGATGTACGATCGCCAAGTCGCAACACCAATGTTGATTCGCGGCGCTGAAATCCCAGGACTGGTGCTTTAGCACCAGTAAAAATTGTCAGACGGTCGTCTTCCAACAAGGCCCTTCCGCAGTGAAGATAAATCGCTATAGGAGGCTATGCAGAGGGAGCATGGAGGGCGGGCTTATCGCAACATCGCTGATGCGTCTTGAGTTTACGCTGGTCCTCGTCATCCTCTTCCTCCTCCTCCTCCTCCTCCTCCTCCTCCTCCTCCTCCTCCTCCTCCTCCTCCTCCTGCGTTCCACACGGACACGCCGGGTTCGTCGCGCAGGTGCGGGCACACTGGTACACGGGGGTGCGCCTCGCTGCTGTCGGGGATTCGCACCCCTAGGCACCCGAAGGCCGACCGTTTTCCCGCCGCCGCACAAACGTGCTGTCTCGCCTGAGGAGGCCTGACAGGCAGTGATTTCGCACGGGAGCCCACTGTCGCGGGCTGACTCAAGAAGGGCCTCGGTGAGTCCCTGGTGCGTGCACTCCTCCTTGGAAAAGAAAGAAGAGGATGAGGAGGAGGAGGAGGAGGAGGAGGAGGAGGAAGAGGAGGAGGAGGGGGAGGAGCCATAGGAGGAGGAGGAGGAGGAGGAGGAGGAGGAGGAGGAGGAGGAGGAGGAGGAGGACTATCGTACTGAGGGCTACTGGATCTGATTGGGGAACTATCGTGCTAAGGTTAATGCGGACCTCTAGTACCTGGCGGGCACCTACTCTTTTTACTCTTCTTGTCTTGGCCGTATTTCCTTCATTCCCCGCCGCGCCCGCCAGGTACATCTTGCGCCGAGCAGCACGCTCGTCGTGACTTGCTTCCACATTCGCTCAAGAACGCTACAGGCTAGAACCTTACGTCGGGCTAACAAAAAAGAGAGGAGGACAAGGAGGAGGAACAGGACGAGGACGATGAGGAGGAAACCCAAGACTCACCAACGATGTTCGAGTACACCCTCCCTCCAAAATCCCTCTTCATAGGCCCCTACAAAAGGTCATTTCCACTGAGGCAATTGTCCCGTTGGGGGACAACCGTGTGCACATCCTGAAACGTGCCAACACACAATTCTCAGGACTTCGACGCCACGAATTAACCTGACTGTTACGTCCTGGCGATCCTGAAACCGTGCCAGAACACCCTTCCTGGGACTCCAACGTCGCGAATCAACGAGAGAACGCGTTTCACTGGCGCTTGCCTGGGGAACATTCGGCGGCGCGTTTCGAACCGGGGGGTGGGCCCCCCTCCCCAACACTCGGGGCCGTCGATCAAAACCAAGGGGACTCCCCTCCCCCCCAAACCCCCGCCCTCCCGAACCCCCCCCCCTCGGCGCCAGCGCCGGCGCTGGCGGCCGCCAGCAGCGCCCACGGCAGGGACGCAGCGACGATGACAAGAGGCAGCCCAAGGGGGGGGGGATTCAAACCCCCCCCCACTCCTGGAGACGACGGGGGGGGGTTCAAACCCCCCCACCCCCTCCTCGCGCCGGCGCCGGCGCTTGCGGCGGCCAGCAGCGCCGGCGCTGGCGCCGGCGACGGCGGGGACGCAGCGACGCTTACCACCACTACTACCACCGCCACAAACTACCCCCCCCCCGCCTCAACCCACCATCACCACCACCACCACACCACCACCACCACCACCACCACCACCACCACCACCAACAGCACCACACACAACCACCCCACAATCACCACCACCACAGCCACCACCCCACCACCACCACCACCACCACCACCACCACCACCACAACTCACCATCACCACCACCACCACCACCACCACAAAAACCCACCACCACTACCACCACCACCACCACAATCTACCACACCACCACCATCGCCGCCACAACCACCACCACTACTAGTAGCACAACCCACCACCACCACCACAAACCACCACACCACCATCACCACCACCACCACCACAAACCACCGTCGTCCTCGTCGACGCTCCCCGCCACCGCCGCCCGCCGCCGCAGGCGCCGGCACAGGCCCAGAAACGGAAATCGTCGTCCCCGCCGCCGTCGCCAGCCGCCGACGACACAAGCGCCGGCCCGAGGAGAGGGGACGCAGAGGAGGGAAGGGGGGGGGTCGGTTTCACCCCCCCCTCCAAGCGACCACAAAACGCGCTCTTTCCGAATCAACGTAACTGTTTCGCCCTGACAATCCTGAAACATTCCAGAACATTGCTAATGGTACGGTCGCCATGAGACCCGGTGAACCTCCTGCAAATGTTTAAAAACGAATGCGGGGCGCTCAGGCTAGAACCACATTGTGAAAAAGGAATCACCTTCAATCCGTAAAGATGCTGCAATTCTTTAGAACGAATGCACGCGGAGCTAAGGAGAGAACCGCATGTTGAAAACCAACTGCCCTAACTTTGCGAAACTCTTGCAAATCTTACAACGAATGCGCGCGGCGAAAATGCGAGAGCCACACTTTGAAAACGAACCGCCCTCAACCCGTGAAGCTCTTGCACATGTTTAAACATATGTGCGCGGCGCCAAAAACAAAACCACATTTTGAAAACGACCCACCCTCAATCCGTGAAGCTATCGCAGAGTTTGAAAACGAATGTACGCGGCGCTAAAGCGGGAGCCGCATGTTGAAAACCACCCGCCCCTCCGCGAAGATCTTGCACATCGTACAACGAATGTGCGCGGCGCGAATGCGAGAGTCACGTTTTGAAAACGAACCACCCTCAATCGGTGAAACTTTTGTAAATGTTTGAAACGAATGCGCGCGGCGCCAAAGAGAAATCCACATTTGGAAAACGACCCGCCCTCAATCCGTGAAGCTCTTGCAGCGATTGAGAATGAATGTGTGCGGCGCTAGCGCGGGAGCCACATGTTGAAAACCACCCGCCCTCCATCTCTGAAGCATTTGCAAATTTTTCAACCTCAAGGCCATCGATGGCGAGGACGTCCCAGACGAAACGCCAGGCCCGCTCTTTCGACCGGCCTCGGGGCGCGACAGGGAGGAGTTAACTATAAGGAAAAGGTACGGAGCAGAAAAAGGAGGAGGAGGAGGAGGAGGAGGAGGAGGAGGAGGAAGAGAAGGAGGCAATGGCAACGGTAATGGTGCATCGGCGGGTCCGCCGCGCCGCGTAGCAGGACCAGGCTGAGCCCACTCCTCGTCGGGATCTTCGCCTGCCGCAACTCCCCAATCCATTCAATGACCGAAGCGGGCGAAGCAAAACCGTACAGGCGGGCGACCAGATAGGTGTCCAGCTGAAGGACCTCGACCCCATACTGTCAGAAACTGACGGGCCTCTCGCGGCCACCGGACCAAGACACCCTTGGCGACCCGCCACTGGGCCCCGACCCCGGCCCCCCCCCCTGCCCCCCCCAAGGCCACCAGACTGAGATCCCATCAGCTTCTAGCGCGGCCGTTCAATGTCGCCATCGCATCAAGACTCTGAACCCTGGAAAGAATGCGGCGCGGCGGCGGCGGGGCGCGGGCGGCGCCTGAAGCGAGGGGGCTGGGTCTTGAGACCAGCGCGCTGGGCCCCGAAGCACTTGCCCGCCAACTCGCCCTGGGGGAAATGCTGTAGACAACGGAGGCCTTGCAGGACTTGCAAAAGAACGGGGGGGAGGCCGCCCGCCCCCCCTCCAACGTCGCACTTGACAACAGAATGCCCTGGAAACCGCCATGGCTGTCCCGAGAAAACCCCCAGATCCACGCTGCCGCCCCAATCCCCGCCGTCCTGCGGCTCAGGCTCTGGCGCAGGCGCTGGGGCGCAGCCGCCACTCTTCCGCCCGGGACTCTCTCGGGCGGCCAGAACCTCGTCCAAAACAAAGTGCAGGTCAAGCGCGATTTCTGAGGTTCCTACGACCCCGCCCGCGCGTGGGAGATCATCGCCCACTTGCCAGGCGCGCAGCAGACCGATCCAGCGCGCAAGCTCGCGGGCGCGAGCTGCGCAGGCCCAGGTGAAAGGGCAAGATGCCCCCAGGAAAAAACGAGGCGCACCGATCGTGAACGGCGGCCGCGGCTCTGGCAGCCCTGAGAAGCTCGGGGGGCACTCTCGCCGCGTGACAGAGGTGCCTGGGCGGTCAAAGACGCGGTGCCAGATGGTGCCCGTGGCCCCGCGCTACCTGCTGGTCGGGCCGCAAGCTTTGCTGGCGTCAAAAAGACGCCGCTGGCACCAGTGGGCCCCGCGCGCAGCTCACTGACCTGAACGCGCTCTTGTGCCTCGAACCAGACCTCGGAGCTCGCGCGACTCAGCTCTGCCAGCACTGGGCCCCGAAGAATCTCAGAGACCCAGGGGGCCTTGACCCGACGGAGGGCCATGGCGCCCGAGGCCGCGGATGCTGCTAGTCTGGCAACCTGGGTCAGCATGCCCAATGCAAAAACTGCATGTCTACCTCAGTCTGGTCTAGGGCGCTCGCAGGCGATGCGCGCAAACATTAGCGAGGCAGCCCGGGCTGGGTCAGTGCATCGCGTCCACGGGCTCTCGGCCCTGAGGTTGTCCTCGGCCTGCTAGTGAACCGGCTCGAAAACTGCCTTGCTCATGAGGCCGTCGTCGAATGCCGTGGCCCACGCTTTTGCCATCTCCGCGCTGGGCATGGCCAGAGGGTCGCGTCGCCCTCGGCGCGATCCTCAACTCGAGCCCGAGGGCGACTCCTGGCGTGCGCGTGCGCCCCGACGCCGTTCAGCTTGCCGTCAGCGACGCCCGCGATAGCTGAGCCCCGCGCCGCCGCGGCGCAAGGCGAGCCGCGATGCGAGTGGCAGGTCTTGGCCCCGGCCGACTGCGGCAGCTCGATCCTCGAAGCGGCGGAACTGGCTGCGGCCAGCCCCTTGCCCTGCACAGGAACTCACTCCGCGGCAGCCGCCGTCGTTGCCGTCGCCCCCCGAGCACATCAGCCCCGCGCGCCGCTTCAGCCCGAGGTCCTCCCAGAACTCGTCGAGGCCAGCAGCGGCCCCCGGCGGCGAGCTCGGCGCCCGTGGTATCCAGCACGTCTTGCCCCACTTGATTCCGAGACGTCTCGCCTGCAAACCTTCGACTGGGGCATGGGCCGCCCCTGTCATCAGCTGGGCGACCGGGCGACGGGGGCCGACCGCCTGGACGCGGCAGTCACGCTCTGGGCTCTGGGCCCGCGCGGCGGGGAACCTGTGCCGGCCACCCGCCCGAGGGGAGTGAACGCGATCAGCTCGGCCGCGCCCGCCGCGCGCGAGCGCCGAGCTGCCGTCGCGCCGCTGGGCCCGACCGCTGGCCCGATTTCCTGCCGCCACAAGGCCTGCCGCAGCAAGAGCCCTGAGAAGGGGCCAGCGGGAACTCCGTCTCGACGGCTTGCTCCACCAGCTCGTCACGGCTGATGAGCCCGCAGTGCTTGGAAGGGTCCTGGGCGAACGACCTGGCAGCCGAGCCTGGGTGTCTCGCATGTGTGGCCACGGCGTTGCGCGCCGCGCCCGCCCTCTCGAGTGCGCGGCCAGCCGCGCCCCAGTGAACGGGCGAGTCGATCTTCTGCTCCCATCCGGCTAGGATGGGCTTCCCCAGCTTCGATCAAACTCCCTTGACCATATGCTGGCCAGGATGCCCCCTGGCCGGGGCTTCTGCTGGAACGCGACCGACGTCACCCAGAGAGCGCACCAGGTGGAATCTGCTTCTCAGCTACGGGCAGAGTCCAGGAAGGCCTGGCGGCGGCGCTTCGGCAACCTGCGCAGCTGCCTCGGGCGGAAGCGATCCCGCCCTAGACCCGCGACCCTGTCGAAAGGGGCCGGGGCCTGGTCGAGCTCCTCGAGGGCGGTAGGCGGGAGTCGCCGTCAGCGCCCTGACACAGTGCTCCAGGCCAAGTGGCCCAGGTCCTTCTTCGCGTCCAAGTGGATTTGCAGAGCCCCCCATTCACTCGTCATAACTCGCACGACCTCGCCTCGTGCAACGGGCAACGGCGCCCCGCCGTCGGGGTCGCAGCGGCTCTCCAGCACCGCGGGCCCGACCTCGCCATCCTCGATGGACTTAAAAGCTGCGCGCGCGTCGGCCAGCGAGGCCGCCGTCCGGGCCCGCCCACGCCATCCAGCACTCGTTTTCTCGCGGCCAACTAGCAGCTGAGCGCTCTTCGGCCCACTCGGCTCGCCGACGCCGTGCGGCCTGGCGGCGTAGTCCTCTGCCACGGGCCATCGTGAACCAGAACTTGGGCGCCTGCTCGACATCCTTCGGCGGTTCGCTGGCCACCCGCGCCCAGTCTTGCCCCTCCAGGGCCCTCGGAGCCAGGCTGCGTGGGCGGCCTGAGCTGGAGCGGGAACTGACCTGCGCAAACTGATCTGGCGATCGCGGCTCTGCCGCGCAGGCCTCTGAGGCGCGCGCCGACGGCGGCGCGGAGAGCGATGGGCCCGCCACGGCGCCCGCGTCGGCCCGCCTGGCCCACGACGCGAGGTCCGACGGCTCGATGTTCCAGTCTGCCATAACGGTCTACGACTGCGACAGGCCCCCGACCCACGACATCAGTGCCTCTGGTACTCAATGCTGGCACCCGCGGCCCCGATGGTGTCCTGGATGAGCACCGAGAGCGCACGCATCGGGATGTCAAGACCGGCGTGGACCCTGACGGCCTGCCCATGGCGCGCGGGCGGCCCCCTCCCTCGCTGGGGCCCGGCGGTTGAGCTGAGCGCCGGCGGCCCCGAGAGAATGGTGCGCCCCCCCGAGCTGCCCCGCGGTCCAGCCCCAGTGACTGCGGCCAGCTCCACATGCAACGAGTAGCCCACGTTCGCGCCCACTCCTTCGCAGAGGCGACCCGACTCGGCAACTTGAGGCGGCGTTCCCGAACGCAGACGAAGTCGGTGAGGGATTTCGACTTCGCGCTGCCGAATCACCCAAGTAGGCACTGGCCCGTCGCCCAGCTGCTCTCGCTGCCCGCGGCGCCCCCCGGCCCCCCCACCGCGCTCTCGGGCAGGCTGGCAGTCGTAGCGCGAGAACCTCCAACATCACCCTCGCGGCTGTCAACATCGCCGCCCGCGCGCTTGGGATGGCCTGGCCCTGCGCTGCCACCGCCTGGCAACTGGCTGTCAGCGCGCGCACCACTCGCCCGCACGCCCTCGGGGCCAGCAGCGGTGCCGCTGAAGTGCCCACCCCGCCCGGCGCCGCCGCCGCTCCTTTGGAAGACACGGACCGTCCCACTGGAGCCGCTGGAAGTACTTACCCATCGCACTGGACAACTTGGCAGCCCCAATGGGAATACACATCCCACAAGCTGCCGCCGCCGAGCGTGAGCTCGGACTGCCCTCCAACGATTCTACCCTGCGGGTGCCCGCGCGACAGGCCGCGCCCACCGTGGGTCTCGTCCGCAGGGCTGTCTCGGCCTTCTCAGGGCCCACCCAGGTCCGCAACCGTCTCAGGGTCTTCGGAGTCCCTGTGGACATCGACGTTGAGCGAGTACGTGCCCGGGCTTCCCTCCAACAGTTCAAACCAGTAGTGCCCCTCACTTCGGGTAAACCCCTCCGTGGGCCCCGTCCGCTGGCGGGCCTCTTTCTCCTTAGGGCGCACCAGGGCCGCAGCGATGACGAGGTAATCGATGTCCCTGACCGTAGGCTGCCGTTGCTCGCGCACCAGGCCGCGTCCGCAATCGAAGCCCCTGGGCCCGCGCTCGCATCGCCACCCAAGCTGGTGATACCCATCCCGCTGGACGCGGCCGCACTTGTGTTGTGGACGCGCCTATCCCGCTGCTGGCCTTCTTGCTGCCAGCGGTCCGCAGCAGCTCGCCTACCCTTGCAGATCCGGGCCTTGGCCCCATCAGGGATGCGGCGAGTGGCCTGCTGTTCGATGCCATTGCCGCCACAAGGTTTTGGCGGGAAAAAACTCGGCCAAGTCGAACAGCATGTCGTCAGACTCGCTGCCGTTTTGACTTGGCGAGGGTCCGGCCATGCGCATGCACTTGGCCTTGTCATTGAGAGTCGACTTGCCTCCTCCCATTCCCCCCATGGCAGCATTGAGCAGACCGTCCCCGAGCTCGAGGTCTGGAATCTGGGCGTGGACTCCCATGGGGTTTCCTGGGCCAGCCCGACCTGGCTGAGGCTCAGGAGCAGCACTGGCTGCACCAGTAGCAGCAGCCTTGGCTTTGGTCGCCTCCGGCTGGGCAGCTGCCTTGGCGTCACGCACCTGCTTGATATCCGCCAGGAGGGCGTCGGTGGCCGTGTTAAGCTGCTCCATGCAAGGCTGCTTGGCGACAATTGAAAGCATATTGCTGAAAGCGTCGAAGGCAACCGTCCGGGTGGTCGTACCGTCCTCTTCGCCCGAAAGCCGCGCTACGTTCACGTTCTTCGACCTCGCCATCTCGTCAAGCTCGGCGAGTCGTTCCTCACGCTCTCGCAGCTGGCGCAACTCCTCGTCGTACGCCTCCTGGGCCTTAGTAAGGAGCTCCGCCTCCTCCACGACCCTGGTCTTGCATGTGTCGACCTGTCCTGCTTTGTGTTCCCGCCGCTGTAGCACCTGAGCCAAGGACTTGGTCGACAGATTGACCTTCGCCTCTGCTGGTGGCACTGGCTTGGCCAAAACGGCGAGCCACTTCTCAGGAACTTGCACATTCCCCCCAAAGGCTTTGGCAACCTTTTGGAGGATAGCGGAGGCCGTAGCAAGCCCCCTGATGCTCGTTGCCGTCCTCCTTGGTGAGGTCGACGGCTTCTCACTTGAACTGCCCGCCGCCCCAATAGCCCGCCGACGATGACCACTTCCCACACGACTGTTCAGAACCCCACTTGGGTTTGGGCTGCTTCCAGGGAGCCTCCCGGAAGGTAGCTTGGAGGCCGAACGCTTTGGGCAGAGACTTGGCCCCAAATCCACGGCAGAAAGAACGTTTTTTTTCCCGGGCAACCGCCAGACTTGCCCGAGTACGTCCTCGATCCATTGATCCTGACTCGACTGGCGCCCATAGCCCATGAGCGCGAGAGACACGCTGGCGGTTCGAGTGACTCGCAGACACGAGCCGCTCTGAAGCACGCGTCTGCATGCTCATGACCCCGCCTGAGCCAGAACGGCTGAGGAGGAGGAGGCGGAGGAGGAGAAGGAAAAGGAGGAGGAGGAGGAGGAGGAGGAGGGGGAGGAGGAGGATCAAGAGGAGGAGGAGGAGTAGGAGGAGGGAGGAGGAGAAGATGAAGAAGGAGGAGGAGGATGCAGTGGAAGAGGAGAAGAGAAGGATGAGGCGGAGGAGGAGAGGAGGAGACGGAGGAGGAGGATGGGGGAGGATGGGAAGAGGACCTCGAGGAGGAGGAGGAGGAGGAGGAGGAGGAGAAGGAGCTGGATGAGGAGCGGGAGCAGGAGACAAGCGTGTATATATAGAGAGAGGGAGAGAGAGAGAGAGAGAGGAGCAGGAGGAGGAGGGGCAGGAGCAGGAGGAGGAGGAGGAGGAGGAGGAGGAGTCACGATGAGGACGAGGCGACGAGGAGGCGCAGCATCGCGCATGCGGGGCACGGACAGCTTGTCCAGAACCGCATGCGGAGGGGGCGTCCCGCGCGAGCGCGGCGCGGCGCCCCTCGGCGCGGCGAGGCGGGGACGCGCAGCCCCTTCGGGGGGGACGCGCCCTCGGAGCTCTCTACGCCCGCCGACCGCCCGTTGGTTTAAAAGTCCTCGACGGGCTGCGGGCTCGGATTCGCGGTGTATGCACCAGGGCCCCCCTCCTCTGATGGGCCGAGGTTCCACCACCGCTGCAATGTGGGCAGGGGAGGGGGGAGGAGGCGGAGGCGGAGGAGGAGGAGGAGGAGGAGGAGGAGGAGGAAGAGAAGGAAGAGACAAAGAAAGAGAAAGAGAACGAGAAGGAGAAAGAGGAAGAGAAAGAGGAGGGGGGCCTCCCCATCCCCCCTTCTGCCCCGTCCTACCGATGGTAATGCTGGTGGAAAACGGACGGGCCCATCATTCTCGACCTGCACCTCCCGCACTTTCCGCGCGGCAGGCACTGCGCTGCTGCGGCCGCATCGCGGCGGCACCTTCCGCGCGGAAGGTGTGGGGGAGGCGCAGGTCGTGGGTGAGCAGGGACTTTTGATCAACCAGAACACTGACGCGCCTGTGAAAAGCTGCAGCCGGCGGTTCGAAGCAGCCTCCAGTCGTCGCTCTCCCCGCGTGGAATGCTCAGGGTCCTGGCCCACCATGCCCTGCTGCAGGGGGGGGGCCCTGCATTCGGGGCTGACTGGGGCGGCCCGCACGTGACGACGGACCGAAGGCCACAAGAGCGCCAAAAGCACGCACAGGGAGGGGGGCAGAAGCATCGGCACACACGCGTGCCCAGACCTGCTCGGGTCCGCGCCCACTTTCCCACTTTCTGGATCGGCGCAAGCCCCCCCCCCCCTCCGGCGCAGCCAGGGGACAGCGCCGATCCGGGAAATCCGCGCGGACCTCCGAATTGCGACGGCAGGTTCGTGTCGTGACGCCTCGCGTGTTGGTTTCTGGCCCAGGCCCCATCGCGTTGCGAAAAAACTCGGGATGGGAGGCTTTTCGCTATTTTCGGTTGCTGCCAGAGGTGGCCCCTTAGGCCCTGGGCGACCTCGGCTTCCTCCCCGGGGCGGCCCACGGGGCCAAAGCAGGGGGTCGAAGGCTCGGAGGAGGACAGATGTGCGGATCCACCTCGATCCTTCCAAACCCCCTCGCGTTGTGAAAAAATCGCGACGGGCGGCTTTTCGCAATTTTCAGCCTCCGAGGGCCCTTACCGGGCCTCGGGGCCGCCAAAAAACGACTCGGGACGAAAAACCGGACCCGCGGGGAAGGGGTTCGGACGGTCGACGTTGCGAAAACATCATTGCGTCGGGCTTCTGGGTGTCGTGACGCCTTGCGTGTTGGTTTCAGACGCTGCGTGGATTGTTTAACGCTTAGCGATCGCGGCTCTCCGGCAGCGCAGATCGTTCGACATCCGCCGATGCTGGGCCACCATCGGCGCCCAACTTTGAGCGCCCGAGCTGGGGATCGCAGCCGCGTCCGCGCGGCGCGAACCTACCGTACCCAGATATGCGACTTCCTGACGTTTTCAATACGGGGTCCCTGGAAGTCCCGACCCTTTCCGCGGGACCGCCTTTGCATCCTGAGTCGGCTTTTGACACTCCCGAGGCCCGGCGAGGGCCCTCCGAGGCCGAAAACGGCCCAAACCTTCCGTCCTGATTGTTGTTCACCACGCGAGCATGTCTGGGTATGATTATGTAGTTTGCTCTTCTTCGAGCGCGCTCTCGGACGCCCGCGTGGATAACTCCCGGGCCAGCGCCGGGCGCTCGGGCGTCAGAGGGTCGACCCTGGCCTCGCGAGTGCCCCCAGCCTCTCTCGCACCGTTTTTCTGGACATCGAGCACTTTTGCAGATCCACCTCCTGACTCCTCCATCCTCCATCCTCCTCCTCCAACTCCTCCTCCTCCAACTCCTCCTCCCTCCATCCTCCTCCTCCTCCCTCCATCCTCCTCCTCCTCCCTCCTCCTCCTCCTCCTCTATCCTCCTCCTCCTCCTCCTCCTCCTTCTCCTCCCTCCTCCTCCTCCTCCATCCTCCTCCTCCTCCTCCTTCTCCTCCCTCCTCCTCCTCCTCCATCCTCCTCCTCCTCCTCCTCCTCCTCCTCCTCCTCCTCCTCCTCCTCCTCCTCCTCCCTCCTCCTCCTCCTCCTCCTCCTCCTCCTCCTCCTACCTCCTCCTCCTGGCTGGGATCCAACACTGTTGGCGTCCCACGCTTCCTTCCGCCCTCCCGCCGCCCTCCGCGGGCGGACCCGCCGCCGCTTCTGCCTACGCCTGCCCTGCGCCGGCCTCCGCCGGAAGGGGTGCCCAAACTTTTTTTCGTCGGCGGCGAGGCGGCGAAATCCGCACCAGCGTGGCAGCCCAGGTAATTATAGGGGCACGAACTGGCAGATTGGCCGGCGAGCAAGGGAGGGTGCCCAGGCAGGCGACGTCCTGATCTTTTCCATGCGGCGCCCCTGGAAGTCCCGACCCGTTGCCCGGGACCTGCCAGCTCTTCGTCCCGAGTCGGTTTTTGACGGTTCCGAGGCCCGGCGAGGGCCCCCCGCGGCCGAAGACGGCCCAAAGCCGCCCGCCATCATTTATTTACGACTACGACGCGATCATGGCTGGGTACAGATCCGCCTCCTCACTCCTCCCTCCTCTCCTCCACCTCTGATCCCTGAGGCCCGACGCCGCACAACAAATTGCAACAGCGCAAAAATATCGCGAGCGGAGCCCCGGACCCCATCTTTCATGCGTCACCTTTCGAGCCGGGCCAGAACCGGCACGCAAGGCGTCACGACACCCAGAAGCCCGACGCAATGATGTTTTCGCAACGTCGACCATCCGAGGTCTCGACCACTTCCCCGCGGGTCCGGTTTTTCGTCCCGAGTCGTTTTTGGCGGCCCCGAGGCCCGGTAAGGGCCCTCGGAGGCTGAAAATTGCGAAAAGCCGCCCGTCGCGATTTTTTCACAACGCGAGGGGGTTTGGAAGGATCGAGGTGGATCCGCACATCTGTCCTCCTCCGAGCCTTCGACCCCCTGCTTTGGCCCCGTGGGCCGCCCCGGGGAGGAAGCCGAGGTCGCCCAGGGCCTAAGGGGCCACCTCTGGCAGCAACCAAAGTTTAGGTCGGGCATGTCCCCTTACAGGCAGAGATTGCATATATATATATATATATATGTATATATACATACATACATACATACATACATACATACATACATACATACATACATACATACATACATGTGTATGAAAGAGAGAGAGAGAGAGAGAGAGAGAGAGAGAGAGAGAGAGAGAACAAATAAAAACGCGTTTCACGGGCGCTTGCCTTGGGAACATTCGGCGGCTCGTTTTGACCCGGGGGGGGGGGCCCCCCCAACACTCGACGCCGTCTATCAAAACCAGGGGGACTCCCCTCCCCCCAAACCCTCCTCCCCCGCACCCCCCCTCTCTCCCAAGGGAGGGGGAGGGGGGGGCCACCCCCCCCTCCCCCCCTGCGCCGGTGCCAGCGCTAGCGCCGACGGCGGGGACGCAGCGACGATGACCAGAGGCAGCCCAAGAAGGGGGGGTTCAACCGCCCCCCCCCCCTTGGCGCTGGCGCCGGCCAGCAGCGCCGGCGTTGGCGCCGGCGACGGCGGAGACGCAGCGACGATTACCACCACTACCACCACCGCCACCACTGCCTCAACCCACCACCACCACCACCAACAACAACCCACCACACAACCACCACCACCACCACAGCCACCACCACCACCACAACCACCACCACAACCACCACCACAACTCTCACCACCACCACCACCACGACAAAAACCCACCACCACTACCACTACCACCACAATCTACCACGCCACCACCACTACTGCCACAACCGCCACCACTACCAGCAGCACAACCCACCGCCACCACCACAAACCACCACACCACCACCACCACCGCCACCACAACCACCACCACCAGCACCACGTCCACAAACCACCGCCACCACCACAACCCACCACCACCACCACCACCACCACCACAAACCACCACCACACCGCCACCAAACCACCACCGCCACCACAACCCACCACCACCACCACCATCACCACCACCACCACCACCCCACCACACCACCACCACACCACCACCAAACCACCACCACCACCCAACCACCACAACCACCACCACCACCACAACAAACCACCACACCACCACCACCACCACAACCACCACCACCGCCACCACCACCACCACAACCCACCACCACCACCACCACCGTCCTCGTCGACACTCCCCGCCGCCGCTGCCCACCGCCGCAGGCGCCGGCGCCAGCCCAGAAAAGAAAATCGTCGTCCCCGCCGCCGCCGCCAGCCGCCGCCGACGCAAGCGCCGGCCCGAGGAGAGGAGGGGAAGCAGGGGAGGAAGGGGGGGTGTTCGGACCCCCCCCCTCCATCCAGGGGGGCGGGGGGGTCTGGTTTCCCCCCCCCTCCAAGCGACCACAGAACGCACTCTTTCATATATATATATATATACAAGACTGCACTGGCGCTGCGCACCATGCACCTTGGTCCTTGAGTTTCGCAAGCTAGCGGAGTGCGTGCGTGCGTACATGCGCGCGCATCTGCGCCCATACGTACACGTTGTATTTGTGAATATGAATGTACGCGTGCAAGGGTATGTACAGGTATACGCAAATCGTTTGCGCAGCCCTGGGTGCGCATGCACATGCGCATCTCGAAAGGTCTGCAAGAATGTCTCAGGCGAAGAAAGCGGGAATACTATGGAGCAATGCCTTTCCGCAGTCGGAGTTGCGAGGAAATCCAAAGCGACGCGGGTTCGACTACTGCTTCTTCCTCATCCTTTTCCCCCTGCTTCGTTTGCTAGCTGGGTGGTAATCGTTACTTCTCCTCCGCGCTCCTTTATCTGCTCCTCGTTCTATTTGTCCTCGTATTCTTCTGTGCCCGTTTCTTTTCCCCCCTTCCTCCTGCTTCTCCTCCTGTTTCTCCTCCTCAGTCCTGTGCCGATTGAGCTGAACCGGAAGAGCTGAAGAGGATGAGGAGAAGGAGGAGGAGGAGGAGGAGGAGGAGGAGGAGGATGAAGACGAGGAAGAGGATGGGGACGACGACAACGACGACGACGAAGAAGGCGACGACAAAGAGAAGGGATAATGAGAGGGGGAGACCGCTGTGTTGGGATCTCGTGGTACGCCTCTCGGGGGCCTCTGGGAGGCAGTTTTGAAGCCTCTTGGGGGCTGTTTGTGGGCCTCTTGGGATCTTTTTGGGGCCTCTTGGGGGCCTCTTGGGGGCTCCTTGGGGCCTCTGGGGAGCCTCTTGGGGCCTCATGGGGCCCTCTTGGGGCCTCTCGGGGCCCGCTCGCGGCGGAAAACGTAAGTTTTGAATTTTTGGGCGCCCTCTTGGGCCTCTCTTGGGGCCGTCTTGGTGCTCTCTTGGGCCGCCTTGGGCGCCTCTTGGGCGGTCTTGGAGCCCTCCTGGACCGTGTTGGGGCCTTCTTGGGGGCCTCTTGGGCAGTACTGGGGCGATCTAGGGAGCCTCTTGGGCCGTGTTGGAGCGTGGGGAAGCGGAAAAAGCGAGAAGGCCAAAAACATCGGAAAACACACCGGAAAATTAACCATTTTAGCCTCTCGGGGCTCTCCTGGGAGGCCTCTTGGGGGTCTCTTGGGGCGTCTTGGAGGCCTCTTGGGCAGTCTTGGGCTCATATTGGGCGTCTTGGGCCGATCTTTGGGCGTCTCGGGGCCCTCTTTGGCCGTCGTGGGGGCTTCTTTTTCGCGTCGGACTCGCAGGACAGACCTGCCTGGGGGGTCCAGGAGGACCGGAGATCCACGGAAGCACTCTGCAGGAGCGCCCCAGAGGCTCGGGGAGGCCGAAATTCGTTTGGGAGGGGGGGGGGGGCACCGTGTGCCGCTTTTCCGGGGTCCCCGGCCCTGTAAAAATATATAAATAGGAATATATACACATAGCGTTGGGAACAATATTCAAACATGGTGAAACATATGAGAAAAATCGTCCCCAGATTACTTTTGTGATGAATTTTGAATTTTCCTCCTGTAGAGGGACATGCCCGACTTAAACCGAGGACCCGCCTCGCCAAGGCCAGGAAATCCGCGCGCGGACCTCCAGGAATTCATTGGGCAACCACGCGTGAACCCAGACCCCATCGCGTTGTGAAAAAATCATGACGGGAGGTTGTTTGCTATTTTCGGCCTCTGGGGGCCCTCACCAGGCCTCAGATGGCCTCAGGACTGTCAAAAAAACGATTCAGGATGAAAAACCAGTCCCGGGGAAGGGGTCGAGACCTCTGGGGGCCGACGTTGCGAACAAAATCACGACGTCTGGGGTCTGGGGACCCTACCCCTTTACGTAGGCCAGATTGTTGAAAAAAGCTGGCAGGGGCTCAGAATCCGAAGGATGTCTGCAGTCGAGTAAGCCCCAAAGGGGTTGGCCGATACACCGGCGTCGATTGGTCCGGCAGGGACAGGGATCGCAAGCATTCGCAGACTTCTGCTTATGCCGCTTTGGGCCATCCAATGAATCTCACATCCTGAAAATCGGCATGACCGTGTCGAACAGGATGCCGCAGGAGCCGCAGACCCAGACCTGCTTCGGGCCACCCTTGCATCCGGAGCCCACCTCGGGGGAGTTGTCCCAGCCGCAGCGCAGCTCCTGTGGAGCGCCAGGTGGACAAAGAAGGGGAGGTGAGACTTGACAGGTCAAGAACGGAACGCGCCGTGTCTCTGGGCTTGCGTGCGTGCTTTGGCGCGCAGGGTGGCAGCTTTGGCGCGCAGGGTGGCAGCTTTGGCGCAAGCAGCTGAGGCTGGAAGCCTCGCTTCTGACAGCACTTTGGCTTCCCTGGGCCTGAAAATTCGCCCCGACAATTTGTGCTCACGGTCCTCTTCCTCGACGCGCTGGAGGCGCATGCTGCCGTCCTCGCCCCAGTTTCGCCCCCACGAATTTTTTATCTGCCAGTACTTGACCTCGCCAATCTTGACGTTCATGGACTTCCCGTAGCCGTACAGCACGACCGCGTGGCTGATCACGTTCTTGCTGTCGCAACCATCCGGCGTCAGGATGCCGTGGAAATACCAGTTCCAGTCAGGGCCCGCGGCTACGGCGATGGCAACCGGCCCGTAGTTGACGAGGCCGTGAACGAGCTCTGCCTCCTTCGGGGCGACGAAGTCTATACATATCCACTGCTCCCTGGCCAAGCCCATCCTGAACCTAGCAGCGGTGTATGTGCCACGCCCTCCTGGCTTAGCCAGGAGGGCGTACACACAGCTCCTGGAATCAGGATGGACTTGGCCAGGGAGCAGTGGATATGTGTAGATTTCGTCGCCCGATCCTTGTTCGATGGAAATTTGGTCCACCCCAGCAGCCCGGTCCTGCGGCCCATCATGAGGCTCGCGTCGCTGCTCCTCACGAGCGGCGAACGTATCTAATCTCCGCGCCCGACCCGCGAGGCGGCCGTGGATTTTTTTTTTTTGTTTTCTCTGCGCCACGGCAATGCGCAGAAGAAATCAGAAAACGGTGCCTGCGCGCGCGCGCTCCCCCCACGCAGACCAGCCTCGGACGAACCGGCAACTGGCTGCTAAGGGGGGCGGCGAGGCGGCCGTGGATATGGAGATGCCAGGTTCTGGAAATTCTGAACGCAGAGAAACGATCATTTTGTCGGCTTCCTCCGCCCTTGCGCCGCCTTCCGCCGACGAAGAGATGGCAACTCCTTCGACCCTCGAAGGCGAGGCCCTCTCGCGATCATGCGTTCCCCGAGATCCGACGTAGCGACAACAGTGCAACGTCGAACAAAAATCACGCCCAGAGCCCTGGACCCCGTCTTTCTGCCGCAGGTTTCGAGCCAGATTGATCTGCCCTGAGATCCTGGCGTTGCAATTTGTTCGCAACCAGCGTTTTCGCTCCATTTCGGGCCCTGGGGCCCGGGACCCTCACAGATCGATCGGCTCGAAAAATGAAGCAGACAGATGGGGTCGCGATTTTCTGCGATGCCGCAATTTTTTGCCACGTCGGGGCCCCGGGGCCCGAAGCATCGAGCGAAAACGCCAGGATCGTAACCATTGCAGCGCCAGGATCTCAGCACAGACATGGCCAAGGAAAAACACACTCCCAATCCCAAAGTCGCGGAGCCGCCGAGGACTCGAGCACCAAACGAAGATTTCGGGGCATGGTCTGCGTTCGTTCTGCTGCCCTCCTGGTAAAAGCCTACCCCGAAATCTCCCTCCCCGAAGTCTCGAGGAGCCTGCGTTTTGCTTTGGCCCTCGCGTTTTCGGGATTGGGCGTCTGTCTTGAGCTGGTGAAGACATGCGACGTCCTGTTGTTTTCAGTACGGAGGCCCTGGAAGTCCCGACCCTCTCCCTGGGACCGGCTTCTCATCCTGCGCCGTTTTTCCACGACCTCGCGAGGCCCGGCGAGGGCCCCCCGAGGCCGAAAACGGCCCAAAACCTTCCGTCCGGATGTTTTCACGACGCGGTCATGTCCGGGCTGCGCTCGCCCTCCCCCTCGATCTTCGGCGGCCGGGCCTCCTCCCCCCGGAGGCGGGAGGAGGAGGAGGAGGAGGAGGCGGGAGGAGGAGGAGGAGGAGGAGGAGGAGGAGGAGGAGGGGGAGGAGGAAGGAGGAGGAGGCGGAGGGGGAAGAGGGGGAAGAGGGGGAGGAGGGGGAGGAGCGAGGAGGAGGAGGAGGAGCAGGAGGAGGAGGAGGAGGAGGAGGAGAAGGGTCTGGGAGGGTCTCCCGCCCACGAGCTCCCGTGGATCATGTGCTTCTCCGAGCCGTCGGGCATGAGCACGGCCTGCGTGCCGACGCCCGTGCGAGCGAGGGCGCCCCAGGGCCGCTTGTCCTCGGGGCAGGCGGGCTGCTTCCCTGTCTTGTCCGCGGGGAACTCCGCCTTGCTGACGACCTGGGCCTGGGGCGCCGACGACGACGACGACGACGACGACGGGCGCCGGACGACGACGACGACGACGACGACGACGACGACGACGACGACGACGACGACGACGGCGGCGACGGCGGAGACGGCGACGGACGGAGACGACGACGACGACGACGACGACGACGACGACGACGACGACGACGACGACGACGACGACGACACACGACGACGACGACAGACGACGGAAGACGACGACGACGGCGACAACGACGACAACGACGGGCGCCGGACGACGACGACGGACGGCGACGGACGGGGACGACGACGACGACGACGACGACGACGACGACGACGACGACGACGACGACGACGGAAGACGACGACGACGGCGACGGCGACGGCGACGGCGACGGCGACGGACGACGGCGACGGACGACGACGGCTGCGACGACGACGACGCGACGACGACAATGACGACGAGGATGACGACGACGGGACCTGCAGCGCGTACTCGAAAGCCAACTCCGCGGTGGCCCCCTCGCAGCCGCCGGAGCCGCCGCACTGGTTGGGGTTGGGGGTGCAGGCTAGGATCTGGCCAACGGAGAACTGGTGCGACCCGTTGTTGAGCTCGTTGTGTGCATCGAGCGTCGCGGCGGCGGCGTACGCCCAGCAGGATCCACACTGGTGAGCTATTTTTTTCTCAGGCTCCGGCTTGGCGCAGGTTCGTAAGTCACCATGCGTGCTCCCCTCCTTGTCCTGCTCCTCCTCCTCCTCCGCCTCTCCTCCTCCTCTTCATGCTCCTCGCCCGCTCATTCAAGAATGATTTCTGCTAATTGTGCACCTCTTTCCTTCTCTCTGCACCGCCGCCGCCGCCGCCCACAAAGCGGAGGCTCCAGCGTGTGCACGCTATGGTTTTGAATTGCCTACGCGGTCCAGCGCGAGGCATGACTGACCCCGTCATGGGGCGTAAAAGGGGGGTGGGGGCGTCTGGATCGGGGCCCGTGCTAAGTCGGTCTGTTTGAAGCGGTTCGGGCAATTCCATTTGTCTTTGAAACATTGGTTCCGAATCTTGCGTACAAGATCTGTGCAGGGCTGTGCCAGGGCTCTGTCAGGGCCGTGCAGGAGCTTGCAGGACTGGGCAGGGCTGTCTAGGGGCGCGTAGGACTGGGCAGGGGCGTGCACGAAGGCCGTGCAGGGCTGTGCAGGGACACGCAGGGGCTGTGCAAAGCTGCGCCAGGGCTGCGCATGGCTGTGTAGAGGCTGTGCAAGGGCTGCGCAGGGACTGTAGAACGATTGCCACCTTTTTGTTGTGATCCTTGAAAGTGTCCTCGGGCAAATGGAAGCTGGATGCATGCTTTTGGTGATCGCGTCTGGCGCCCCAGAGCCTTACCTTCCCTGGAAGACGGCATCTAAATAATGTTACGTTCCCTCTCGCTGCAGCGGAGGCATACTTTCGGCGATTCGGGCGGGATTTATACACTCGCGCATCAATCGCATTCTCGCGCAGGCCCCGTGCATGAGTGTCTAATTCGTGTCTATATATCAGGCGTGTCTAAAGAGTCTATCCGTGTCTAACCCAAATAGCCTAAATCGTGCGGGCTTCAAGAATATAGACTTGCAGGACCTCCCGCACGGGAGCGCCGACAATTTAGACTCTCTCTCTTGCCTTCCAGGGCTGCGATTCCAGCAGACACAGAAACAGGGCGCACAGTTGCACACATCACAGACTCGCGTCTCCCTGGGGGAACCAAAGGTACCCGACGGTCGGAAGAAGCGGGTCGAAGCATGAAGTAGGAAGGCGTTGAAGTAGATTCGGCTTCTGCACGCCCCATAGCGAGGAAGGACAATGAAAAAACACTGGACCCTAAAAGTGGGAAGGCGCCAGATTGGAACCTGGGAATCCAAAAATACCCACTCTCGACGACCAGCGTGTATGCTGTTGGTGACCCTGAGATCCGACGTAGCGAAAACATGCAACATCGTACAAAAATCATGCCAGGAGACCCACACCCTATCTTTCGGCATAATTTTTCGAGCCGGATCGATCTGTGAGGGTCCCAGGGCCCCGAACAGAGGCGAAAACGCCCGGCTCGAAAAAATTGAGACGCCAGGATCTCCGGGATTGGAACCTGGGAGTCCGAATGTACATACTTTCAACGACTGGCGTGTATGCGTGGTGATCGCGAGCCGGCGCTGCAGAGCCCCTGCCTTCCGTGGTTTTCGTTCAAAGCGCCCGTCGCTAATGCGTGTCGTAGCGGGTCCAACCCCCGGGCCCCAATTTTTAAAGTTCGAGGTGGTCGACGCGGGGGAGCGCGGGTCGCTTCGAACACCAAAAAAAACGCCCGCACTTGCAAACCGCGGCCTGCTCCCTTGGATGGACATTGAAATTCGGGGCGCGGGGGGGCGCTCTTGCGCCATCTTCTTGTCGTCGTACCTGGGCGTTTTTCCACCATATCCTAATATGGGATTCTTGTTATATCTTGGATGCCACCGACTCCAGAGAACAAGAACACACCCAGAACACAGACTTACTCATGCACAGACTTACTCATACTCAGACTTACTCATACCCAGACGTACTCATACACAGAGTTACTCATACTCAGACTTACTCATACCCAGACTTACTCATACCCAGACATACTCATACTCAGACTTACTCATACTCAGACCTACTCATACTCAGACTTACTCATACCCAGACGTACACATACACAGACTTACTCATACACAGACTTACTCATACTCAGACTTACTCATACCCAGACGTACTCATAAACAGACTTACTCATACTCAGACCTACACATACTCAGAACTTCTCATAATCTGAGTTACTCAACACACGGCAGATTTTGAGGATGTCTCAGGCGGGGCGTTGGCTTCAGCACCCTTAAGGGGAGCCGCCACGGGTGTTCTCACGGGCCCGTTCGCGGCCAGTTTGTGGGGGTGTCTCAGGCGGTTTGCTCGTTTTCATGCCCCACATCCTTTACTTTCAGAGCAGCTTGTGAGGATGTCTCAGGCGGGGCGCTGGTTTCAGCACCCCTAAGGGGAGCCGCCAGGGGGTAGGACGCTCATGAACAGACGCTCACTATGACATGACATAAAACATGAGCAGTGAATAATTTGTTTCGCAATCGCCGGTTGCTGCCCCAGGAGGCGCAGAAGCAGGGCGCACAGCCGCACACATCACAGAGCCTCGCGCCCCCGTGTGGGGGGGGGGCGGGGGGGGAAGGCCGCGGCCCTCGCTCGTCCAACTGGCGGAACGAGGTGCCAAGATGAACCCCGAACTTCTCTACCGCCCCAGCCCCACTCGCGCTGTGAAAAAAATCACGGCGGGAGGTTTTTCGTTGTTCGCTGTCTTCGGCCTCCGGGTGTCCTTAACGGGACTTCGGCGCCGTCAAAAAAAGACTCAGGACGAAGAGCGGGCCCCAGGGAAGGGTTCCAGACTTCTGGGGGTCGCCCTTGAAACATCACGACGCCAAGGGTCTGGAGCGGGGGTTGGGTGGGCGGGGTGCGGCAATTTCCGCTGAGACCCTGGCACCTCAATTTCTTCGAGCTGGGCGTTTTCGTTTGTTTTTTCCGGGGCCCCGGGACCCTCACACCTCACAGATCGATCGCGGGCTCGAAGTATGGCGCAGAAAGATGGGGTCCAGGGCGCTGGGCGAGTATTTTACGACGTTGCATTTTTTTCGCTGCGTCGGACCTCAGGGTCCGCCGATCGGAAAACGAGTCAGAAAATAAAGGCGCTCGCCTGGCCCTGATCGGCGGGGCGCTTGATGGACGCCAGGTGGCCGTAGCTCACATACTCGGGCAGCTCATCCGAGTAGCGCGCAAGGCGCAAGTTCGTCAGGGGCAAGGATCTCTGGGTCGACGAGGAGGCGGACGGCTTGTAGCCGCGGAGGGATAGCAGCTCTGACTCGGTCCAGTCCTTTGGGTGGCCCAAAAAGGGGGTCCAGCTGAAAGGGGGTGGTGCAATAGATTTTGGGCAAGAGTCTTGCAGATGTACTGCGCCGGGGAATTTTATTGCATTTTTTAAACCGCCACGGGCTCATGACAGCGCTCGGCGGTGCAACAGCTCTGGTGCGACAAAAGTATTGCAAAATAAACCACAAACGCGCACAAATGCCATGTTCAAATTTCGCGCGAGACGGCCCAGAATTCAGCACAGCGATTCGGGTCCGAAACGCTGTGTTTTTACGAATGCGACGCTTTCCCCCTGTCATGACGCCTCGCCGTCGCAAGCACACATCGTGCCTGGTAGGCGCTGTCTGGCCCGAGGAGGGGGAGAGAGGGGCGAGGAGAGAGGAGGACAGAAGGGAGGGGGGCGAGGACGAGGAAGAAGAAAGCGCTACCTCAGGGACCAGCCTCCAATCAAAGATCGGCCGGGTCGCTCGAAATTGGCCAGCTGTCTGTCGAAGGCGTTGGCCATCACGATCCCACTGATACGAATTCCCATTAAAAAACGTATAGGTCACATCGGGCAAATGCTGTGTGCAAAGCTTGATGGCTCCAGCGGTCCATCCAGAAGTCTGAAACGTAGACTGGTCATGCCCCAGCACTCGGAAGCCCCCCGCGAGTGCAGCTCCAGTCGGAGCGAATCTGATACACCATCACGCTATCAAAAGGTGGAGAAGCAGCGGCGGCGGCAGCGGCAAGGAGGGAGGGATGGAGGACGACGGGATAAACTGGCGACCTACGCACAGAGCCACACTAACAGCGGGCTGCTCTTACTGCATCCTCCGTTCAGGAGGTTGTCCATGTCTGGAGATTCCAGCATTCGGGGACGAGCGAGGAAGGGACAGGCAGAGGAGGCGGAGAGCAGGCTCACCCCGGCAGGAGGACAATGGCGGAGACCCGCAGACTCAGCTACAATGCCCGCTGGCGGCGCGGCTGCTGTGCGCGCGCGCCCGTGCGCGCGCGCGCTACGGCTGACGCGGCGGGCGGCGGGGTGGCCGCGGACCAGCTCCAGAGCGATCTGCCCGAGCGTCGCTGCGGCGGGCGTTCCAGGCCCTGCGCCGCGTCTCGCCCGGCAGTGCGCCAAGTACACCGCCGCGGTGCGAATGGCCGAAAGCAGGACGAAGTCCGCGGGCAGGCTCGTCGGGGGGATGGAAAGGAAAAGGAAATCCGAGAGGGGTGCCGTGGAACGAGGGATCGCGAGGCTCCGCCACGCGAGCTCCCGGACCACCCGGCAACCTGCATAGCGTTCAATGGAATCCTCGCAGTCACACCCAAAAAGACAGTGGGAGCCCCGCTGCTGGAAGCGCCGGCCCGCGCACCATCCATTGAACCATGTGCGTGAGAGAGCGGCTCTGACCCGCGGCGGGGCAGCCGCCCGGAGGGCGCCCATGGTCGACCTGCCGCGCACGCGGGGCGCGCCTGGCCGGCGGTAAAACATGTAGGCGCCAACGCTGCATCCGGCGCGGCCAGAAGCGCTCTGCCTCCACCACCGACGCGTCCTGCACGATGGAGAGCTCCGGGCGCGGGCGTCGTCGTCGAGCTCCGCGTCGGCGGCCCCCTCAATGCGCTCCCGCACCCTGCGCGCAGTCCAGCCCAAATCCTCGAAGTGCGAGGTGGCGGCGTCCAAAAGCAGAATGGTGCCGGTCTTGAGCCATGGCCCGCCCAAAGGAGCTCGAAGTCGCAATCTGCAGTGGCCCTTCGAAGCTCCCCGGCCCGGCGCGTCGTCTGCAGGCCGCCCTCGTTCGTGGCTTCGTGCCGGGCCACGCGGAAGCGGGCCGCCAGCGAGAGCTTCACAAGCTCGGGCATGAGGGAATGCTGCCGGAAAAGCCCATCGAAAGCGGATCCCGCAGAATGGGCGGGGAGATCCACCCCCGCGGGCCCGGGAACAAACGGGCCACCGCCTCGCGCTCCACAGCACTAGCTGCTGTGCCACGAAGCCGAGCACAGATGCGAGGTGGATCCTGGCCTCGAGCAGCGTGAGCTGGAAACCGCAGCCGACCTTCCCCCACATGGCGGCCCTCTCGAAGAAATCCCCATCGGTTTGTCCCACGAGAGGCCTTCGCTGCTGGGGCCGAGGGTAAAACCGAGGTGCTCCGCGGCGCACGCAATCTTCATGGCGCCCCACCTGGGGGCGCAGGCTGAGATCGAGTCCCAGAGTTCGGCCAGGTCGACAGGGCGCAGGGGGAGGGCGACTGACTTGCCCGCGTTCAGCGCCAGGCGGGAAATCATCTCATACTCGCGGAATAGTTCTTCCAGCTGCGGGAGGTGCAGGTGCAGGTGTGGGGCGCGACGAGGGCGAGATCGTCGGCGCACGCCCGCGGGGCGGCGGCGGGGGGGGGGGCCGGTGGAGCCGTCGAAGTAGGAGGTCCGCGGCGATGGCGAAGAGCAGCGGGGACAGCGGGCGGCCTTGCCGCCCGCCCGCCGAGTGCGCAAAGCCCTCGAGCCTGTAACCCCCGACGACGATTTGGCAAAAGTTGTCGCGGTAGAGGGCCGCGATGAATCTGCCGAGGCTCGGCGGGGTGCCAATCCAGTCTAGCAGCTCCGGCGCGAAGGACTGGTCGATCGACGGGGGCGCCGCCCAGAAATCGAAGAAGATGCAAGCCCCGTCCTCCTGAGACAACGCGGTGAAACGCATCTCCGCGTCGACGTCAATCGCGCTGGCAAGGAGCGAGCGCCTCCGACGAAGCCCCGCTGGATCCTGGAGACCAATGATGTGGGACTACCCCCATGCGGAAGCGGGCAGCGTTAGCCGAGATGCGATTGTCGAAGCTAACCACGTTGATCGGGCGCACCTTGTCCGCGTTGTAGAAATTGCCAGCGACCTCGTCGTAGCCCGACTCTTTCTTGGGCAGGAGGTGCAGGAGGGAGAAATTGAAATCGTGAAGGTGGCGGCGCTGGAGCTCCTCGCCGTCGGGGCCAGACAAACAGGAAAATGCGTTGTGCAAGACGTCGGCGCCCAGCTCGCCCAATTGCCGGTGCCCCTCCGCGGGGGTCCCGTCAGATCCTGGAGACGATGACCCCGAGCACCGGATCGCCTTTTTGATGTCGTCGCGCCGCACTTGCCACCGGGGAGAATTCGCGGGGGGCAAGGAAGCGCGAACTTCAGGCGGCAGGTCCTCCTCGAACTAGCGGCGACGGAGTGCTCGATTCTTCGCCCCCGCAGTGAAGACCTTCTCCCAGTGCCTTCGAAATCCGAGGCCATGTCAGAGGGCTGCGTGCGAAGCGTGCCATGCTCGCACCAAATAACTTGCGCGAACTTGCCCCTTCCTGGCGAAACAGGGGCTGGAGCCGCAAATTTCTTATCCGGGCGCGGCGCAGAACCTCTGGGGGGGGGATCGAGCGACTTCTCATGCAACTGCGTGAGCTCTGCGATCGCGTGGGCGCGAGCCAACTCCACCGCGCGCTCGCGAACCGGGATAAAGCCGCGGCCCGCGGCCAGCGCGGGGTCGCACGGGTTGGGGGCCAAGGAGCAGAGGTGCGGGCGTCGCCCGATCGCCGCCGACATCGCGGATGTGGAGTGGGACTCGACGGCCCGGATGAACGCCGTGGTGCAGCCCATCTGGTCGTCGGGGGAGTCCGCGCGGGCCGCGGGCTGCACGGCGCCCCCGGTGGTCGCCGCGTCGCGGATGGCCACGCGCAGGAGGGCGAGGCACTGCGCGGCGCTCGTGGCGGAGTTCTCCTCGCAGAGGGTCTGGAACCGGAGGGCCGCGGCCTGTGCCCAGCCGGGGCGACGGATCGCTTCCAGCGAGATGGGCCTGCGGGCAGCTGGTTTGGGCAGGGGCGCACGGCGCGCAAAGAACACCGGGCGGTGGTTGGAGACGCCGGAGGCCCAGTCGTCCACCCCGACTGTGATCTGGCGGTCTAGCAGGTCGGCGGCTTCCAAATTGACATAGACCATGTCGAGCCGGGACCGCGCTTGGGCGGACTCGTGCGTCATGCAGGGTTGGTGCACCTCGGAGAAGGCAGGGGGAAGTCCAGACCAGTGGGTCTCTTCCTGTCGGCCCCGCTGGCCCGTGGAAGCCCCCGTGGATTTACAGATGCGGCCCCTGGCCTCGGCGACCCAGTTGAAATCGCCGGCGATGATGGGCAGCGCCTCGCGTGCTGGACGTGTGCTCTGGGCGACTGCAGCTCGAAGACGGGCGCGTTGCTGGCGGAGTGGGATCACCTCCGCTTCGTGCTTGGGCTCCACCAGGGCCTCCGAGGGGGCCGCGAAACCGGTGGCGGCGCCCGTCTGGAAGTAGGTCACGTGGAAATCCACGGCGCCAAAGAGGGCCGTTCAGTCGAAGGACAGCGGCGCGGCCCGGGTGCACGATGACCCAGTCGCGGCGCGGGAAGTGCCCCAGGAACGACTCTTTAACAACCACGCCGACTCCTCCGCGACGCACCGTCCCAGGGGCCCACCGCGCCAGGGAGCCGCGCGGGGCCGCAGTCAACAGCAAGGAGTCCTCGGTTCCGTGGGAGTCGGTGATCATCACGACGTCGTGCTGGTGATGAAGGCGCTCGGGGTTCTTCCACTTGTTGATTTGCAGGATGGGGTGCTGAGCGAAGAGCGCTTGCGCGTTCCAAGTGCAGACCGAGAGATCGCCCCGGAAGGGGTGGCCAGCGCCGGCTGCCCCCGGTGGAAACGTTCTGGCTAGGGTCACACGTGTCGGAGGCGTCGCAACGCAGGTCGGCGGCGCAATGCCGCGCGCCCGTCGGAGGAGCGCACGCTGGCGAAGCGACAGCGGGACGTCGCAGTGGCGGGAACATGTTCGTGAGGGGCTGGAAAAAGAAGAAGAAGAAGAAGAAGAAGAAGAAGAAGAGGCGGCAGATGAGAGTCGGCGGCGGCGGCGGCAATCGAATTCACCTCGGCGCCTGCGTGGCCTCTGTGGCTCGTGGGCTGCGGGGGGCCCAGGAGGTGCAGTGCGACGTCCAGCACGAGGAACATGCACCCTGAGCCGTCAGTGGCCCAGGCAGCAACCCCAACGGGGGCTAGTCATTGGACGGCACTGCCGCCCCGCAGCCGGTCCTGCAGGTCGTTGTGGGCCTGGAGGCGGAACGTGTCCATGCCGATCTTGATGGTCTTGTCGTGGAGAGCCGCCTTGATCCGAGACGCCTCAGATAGGTCCTTCAAGAACAGGCGAGATCTGCCAGGCGGCGCCGGAGGGTCTGTGGCCGAAAGCCACTTCCACGTGCCGACCTTGCTGCTCGGTCCGTCTGACTGCTCAGTCAGCTGGAGGCCTGACTGGGACGCCAGGTGGTTCATGAGGGTGCGGACAACGGCGTGCTCGTCGGCGTGGAGGCGACCCGTGATCGCGACGTCCGCGATGGCCTGGGTCGTCGACGAGGCCCCGCGGGACGTCTTGGCGCGGCGGGTGGCCGCGACGCGCGCGAGCAGCGCCGGGGGGGGCGAGAATGCCCGCCCTCCATGTCGCGAAGGCCGGTGCTTCAGCTTGTAGACGGCCGTGTCCGGGTCGTTGCGTATAAGCGTGTCCATCGTCGCCTGCCACGTCTCAGCGGCGGTCTCCTTGAGGAGGAGCCGGCTCTTCCCCAGGAACAAAGCTCCTGAGCAGAGGCTCCAAATCGACGTGATGGCGCCCGCGTGGCCGAGTTCTGCGATCAGGGCGCCGGGCTCGGTGAACAGGTCGTGGGAGGCGAAGCGCACGCCAGCGGGCAAGTGACGACGGACCTGGCGCATCCGCAACTCCTGCTCCAAGCGCGGCGTGTGGAAGGCGAACCGGATCTCCACCCTACCCCGCGGGGTTTCCTCCGAGTGCCCAGGGCTGCGGTAAATCCGCCCGATTTGCGCCGACTGGCCGGCGGCATCGAGCAACGCATGCGTGACCTCCACCGTGAGCATCGAGGGGAGGTCCACGACGTAGGTCGGGGCAGCTTCCGATGTGAGGATGGGCGACTCCAGCTCGCGTACCTGGTGGTGTCGCCGAAGGAGGGTGGAGGGTCCCGTGAAGATCGCCAGACCTCGGAATTCGTGGCGGGGTCCCGAAGGTCCTGGGGAGACGAACTCCATGGGCTGCGGGTGGGACTCAACGCTCCGAATCATCTCCGCCCAGTTCTCGCTCAGGAAATCGTGCCACCACAAGTCGCAGATCGTCTCGCTCGTGGTGCACCCCGGGTGGAGGTCCAAAGGGACGATGAAGCGGATGTGCCGGCACGACGCCTCGACTGCTGAGCGGCGCAGGAGCGAAGCCAAGAGGCGACCGAGCGCCGAGGCGCCAGCGGGAGCCCAGGGTGAAAGCGGTTTGCCGCTAGCCCTGACCGCGTCCCACAAGGAAGGGTCGCCCTCTTCTGCCAGGTCGGCCAAGATGCGGGCCTCGCTCGTGGGCGCGATCCGGCCCTGGTACTGCGTGGTCGTCGGGAAGGCGGACCACTGGGTGCAGACGGCCTCGGAGGCGCCCGGGGCGGTGTCGAGGACCGCGAGGAGAGCGCGGTGGCCGAGCTCGTGCCACAGGGGGAGCTTTGAAGGGCGGGCCCGCCTGCGCTCCCTGAGCCAGCTGTCGAAGGAGGCGAAGCAGGTCGTGGCCGCCTGGGTGCTCTTCGCGATGACCTCGATGCGCCCCTGCCCTGTCGGCCGGTGGCCATGGCGCGGTGTCGATCATGGAAGCGAGGAGCTTGGCAAAGCGGAGGCGGGCCCCGATGGTGTGCAGGGAGAGGTCCGGGCCCTCCAGCGGCGAGGGGCCGAGGATGCTCCACGCGTCGGCAGCCGCAGGGTTGTACGCGAGCGACTTCAAGGCCAGCGTGGACTCCGAACGCGAATCCAGAGAGCGGGGCACGACCGTCTGCCCGTCGACCCTGCGTGCCGCCTGCACGATCTCGAAGTTCGACCACATCTCGTGCTCGATCAGCTCCGCGAGCATGGGCTCGGCGGTGGGCTTTTGCAGGAGGCCTGGGGGCGGCGCGGGGGCAGCAGCCGCGGGTCCCACGCCGGGCGGCTGGACCGCCCTGGGGTCGGCGGCAGCGCCCACGTGCAAGGTCGCCATGGCCTGCGTGGCGCCGGAGCCGTCGTCCGTGTCCTCGATCGCCGGCGCGGCAGCAGCCATCGGGAGCCCCCGGTGCGCCGCGCAGACATCCGCGCCTGGCAGGGCGGGGCCGGCGACGCCGCGGGCGAGGCAGACTCGGCAGTGCCCCGCCATGGGGGATGGGATACGAGAAGAAATTGGAAAAGCGTGAAAGATGAAGGAGAAGGACGGCACCCCATCCTTGACAGGGGCTTCTGGTCGACGGCTGCCAACCTTGAGCCCTTGAGCCAACCTTGAGCCCAGCCTTGAGCCCTTGAGCCAGTAATGTGCTGCATTGTGTTGCAAGTAATGTGCTGCACGCGCAAATACAGCGCCCCGAAATGTATTGCACGCTCCAAATGTATTGCAACCCCACAAATCTATTGCACCAAATCTATTGCATCACCCCCTTGTCGCTGGACCCCCTTTTGGGTCAAGCCGAAGTCCGCCATGTGATTGACCTGGGCACTCCAGAGGTGCCTGTCGGCACAGTTGTGGCCGGCGATGTGCGCGATGCGGCTCTTGAAGAGCTCCTTGCGCGTGCCGTACTCCTCGGGCGAGTACTCCTTCCCGTACTCCCTCACGAAGTCCTCGAAGGTCTCCAGCGACAGGCCCGCGCAGGCAAGCGAGACGATGCTCGAGTTGGACAAGATCTTCAACCCCTGGGTGTGCACAGCGTGCCCCGCGAAGGCAGTCAGCGCCAGGATGCGCCCCATGTGCGTAATTGCGGGGTGTAATATACAATATACACGGATGTGTGGTTATGGAAGTGCCCAGCAATTCGTCACGGGCACCCGCTTAAGACAGAGTGACTGCGGATTTTGGTGATGACGGGAGTGATGCCTTGCCCTACCTTTGGTAAGTGCTATGGTGATGCTGACGGGCACAATGAGTACGATGATGGTGGCACACTGCTGATGATGGGATGCGCATGGAGGCGACAATCCCCAGGCGGCACCACTGACGAGGAGCTGGCCAGCCCAGGTTTCTCTGTTCTGCTTCCAGGGGCGTCCAACGCTGGCGCGAAACACTTCGGGTCCCGAGGCGAGGCCCTTTCTGGAACGCCTCGGACCCATAGCCCCAACGTCGTGATTTTTTCAGATCGTCGACCCCCAAAGGTCTGGACCCACTCCCAGGGACCGGTTTTCCATCCTGAAGCGTTGTTTGACTGTTCCGAGGGCCGCTAAGGGCCCCGAGAGGCCGAAAATAGTGAAACACCTCTAGTTCTCGCGGCTGGTTCTCGCAGCCCTCGCTGGGGAGTACGCTGAGAACCACGATAGGGGAAAACAGTCGCAGCAGGAAGCCCGGGGAGGGCTTCCTGGCGGCATCACTTTGCGCAGCTCTCGGCCGGGCCCGCGCGGTCGGTCGCCCCAGTTTGTTGTGTCGGGTGCGCCGAGAAGGGGGCGCAGACATGCGACATGCTTTTTTTTTTCAATACGGCGTCCCTAGAAGTCCCGACCCTTTCCCCTGGGACCGGTTTTTCGTCCAGAACCGTTTTTTGACGGCAACAAGGCCGGGCGAGGTTCCTCCGAGGCCGAAGAGTGGCAAAAACCTGCCGTCCTGATTTTTCTAAGACGCGATCGTGTCTGGGGGGGGGAGGGCAGGAAAAGGGGGTGGTTTTGAGCATCACGGCCGGGGGAATGTGCGCGGACGGGGGGGGGAGCAGGGAGGGGGGCATGAACTCTGAGACTCTTCATGGCCACGGACACCATCATACCAACACGCACACAGAATGCCCCCCCCCCCCCCTCTCTTTGACGCCTGCAAACTCCTGGCGGAGGAAGGAGGAGACCCAGAGCTCCGATGTCGCGCTTTTGCTTGCAGCGCGGACGACCCCCAGAGGCCTGGACCCCATCTCGGGACGGGTTTTTCAGCCCGAATCATTTTATTACGGATCCATGGGCCCCAAAGGCCGAAAATAGCAACGTCAGAAAACCGCCGGGTGCACCCTCTCCGTTGCGCCCTTCAGCTGCGCTTCCCGTGCAGCGCGTATGGTCGGCATGTCTACGGACACGCACTTGGCCCCCAGGTCGCTCTGCAGTCGGGGCGCGGTGCCTGCGCCCATACAGTCGACTGCTTCCTTGCTGACGGGCGAGGCTTCGGCGAAGGACTGTTGCTGTATGATCTGCTGGGCACGGCGCGTGCGGCACATTTGCCACGGCACGTGCACGCCCGACAGTGGGTGCACCACGTCCACCAGTGGTGCGAGGAGACGGCGCGGACAGTACTTGACGGCCTGGAGCCTGCGACGGAGGATTCCACAGCTGGCCTGGCCAGGAGCACGACATAATTACCTGGTAAGCCGATGGCTACGAGCAGAGCAGAAAGCTCTGCTTCTACTTCCCCCGCGCTCTATACTGCTCTCCTCCCTCCTCCCTCCTCCCTCCTCCCTCCCCCTCCCCCTCCTCCTCTTCCTCCTAATCCTCTTCCTCCTCTTCCTCGTCCTCCTCCTCCTCCGCCTCCCCTCCCTCCTCCTCCTCATCCTTCTCCTCCTCCTCCTCTTCCTCCTCTTCCTCCTCCTCCTCCTCCTTCGTAGCCATGTTGGCTCCTTCGTAGCCATTTTGGCTCAAGGCTGAACGTTGTGAAGGGCTATAGACGCCCGCGAATCAGCGATTAGCTTTGGCTGCATCCGTGACCCAGGTTCGAGAGCTTCTGGGGCGCAGCGCCCCAGGGCAGAGCAGCGATTCCCCGATCCAGTTCTCGTCCCAGGCCCGCCCGCTCCTGCAGTGTCGTGGCATGGCCCCTCGCCATCGCTGCCTGGGGTGCACCAAAGCTGGATGCGAGGGATGGGAGTGGGCCAGCGCCAGGGCCTGCCCTCGTTGCGGCACGTCGCCCAGGCCGCGGCAACCTACCTCGTCGGGCCAGCGAGGATCGGGCCACCCCGCATCCCGCCCTCCGCGTGTCGACTGTGGAAAAAGAGCACCAGCAGCGCACCCGCTTCGAGCCAGAGGACGCCGCCATGGCCGACGCTGGGCCCGTCGGCGGCCCCCAGGCGCCCGACCCCGTGGCCCTGGCCCCCAAGCTCAGGTCACGTTCTGCCGGAAGTGGGTCGGGGTCCAGGCCCAGGAGTGCAACGACGCTTGGGAGGTTCTCAAGAACGCGAAGATGGAGGCGCTTCGAGGCAAGAGCCTGGACCAACAGACTCAGTCGCTCAGCGGGCAGACCACCGCCATCAAAGCAAAGCCCGATGACCTGGATACCGACCTCCAGGACACCGCCGCTCATATCGCAACGCTGGCTAGTGCGTACCAGGGCCGCGCGAAGGAGATCGCCGACGCGGAGGAGGAGCTGCAGATACTGGAGGCCCAGCGCGCCATGGCAGCTTCGGCGGCGGCGCAATAGGCCACGGCCCAGAGCGACATCTCGGATCTGGTCTGCGCTGCGCTGCAGGCCAAGACCCCGACAGGTGGTGTAGCCCCTCCTGAGCTTCCGGAGAAAATGCAGCCCCTGGCCGACACGTTCGACAAGCTGCAGCAGCAGCAGCAGCAGCAGCAGCAGCAGCACGAGCAGGCCATGGCAGCGCAGACCACGCCGCCCGCAGCCGCAGCACGGCCTGCCACGCCGAGGCAGCAGTTGCCACCGCCGTCGGCGAAAACAGCCCCGCTCCAGGCGCCGCCGCTGTTCGCCGCCGCCGCGATGCACCCGCCCGAGAGATCGCAGCGCATCCCAGTCGGCCCAGACTCGGGGGTGGAGGATGAGGCCATGGCCTTCGCGGGCTTCGGCCGCGGAGACAAGCGCGCAGCAGACGCGCTCTCGGAAGTGGCGCAGCCCATGGAGGAAAACGCCGACACCGAGACCGCCCAGAAGATCAAAGAGGCCGTCGCCTCGACAGGCGGCGCCGACCCTGCCGCCCCGTCCAGCCTTTAACCTGAAGCTGGTAACGTTCAACGGCAGTTGCTGGAACGCGTTTGAGCAGTTCCTTGGGTCATGTTGGTTTAATGACGCGACGGTGATTGGTATCCAGGAGCACAGGCTCATCGATGGGGGCGTCATTGCTCAGAAGATTCAGCGGTGCCAGCGTCGGGGCTGGCTTGCTCGCATCCCACCAGCAGCTGCGAGCGACAAATCCGAGCGCATCAACGGAATGGCCATCGTCATCAGAGATCAGCTCGACCTCGGGATCAAGCCCATGCTTTCCTCTGCCTCGGTCGACCCCAGCCACCTGACGGGCATCCGCCAAGAGGCGCCAGGTTTCCCCAAGATGGGCATTCTCCGTGCGTACTTCAAATCGCTTGAAGGTCTAGGTGAGACAAACCTGGGCCTGTAAGCAGACATCGCAGTGCAGCGGGAGCTCAGCAAGCTCCCAATCATCGTTGCAGAGGACTTCAACTTGCCCCACGAGAAGATCGAAAACACAGAGTTCCTCCACAAGGCCCCGCTCCGTCTGGTTGCCCCCGAGGCCCCCGCGTGCCGAAAGCCAAAATCGCAAAGCATCCTGGACTATTTCCTGATCAGCGAAACCCTGGGTGAGAAGATTGACAGGGTCCAAACGTGGACCCGCTATCCGCTGTCGCCGCACAGGCCAGTCTGCCTAGACGTTCTAGGTAAAAAAGAATGCCTGATTCTAGCACTGAAGAAGCCGCAGAGGTCACCTTCAGCAGCACCGATAGGGCCCCAGCCTCGCCCGAGCAAGTGGGTGCAAAGCCAGGCCGCACTATAGCATGCCGGCTCCCTGCTCACCGATGCCGTCAAGCCTCCCGGAATGCAGCAGCAACAATCGATCCTCGATTATTGTTACTTCGCCGTCCTCCACGACCTCGAAAAGCAGATCAGCAGCATCGCAGACACCCCGCCCATGCACCCGTCGACACCTCGACCCCCGAAATCAAGTGGGTCGGAGCAGAAAGAAAATCGGACCAGGACCCGTTGGAGATCCCTGGGGAGCCAGCGCAGATGGCTTCGAAGCCGCCTCGCCGACATAAACTTCGCCGTCGGTAAGCAGGACATGTCGCATGTAATCCATCTGATCGCGGGTCTCGAGGGCCCACCAGCAGAGTTTCACACTGTCCTGAGCCTGAAGGGCAGCCTGGAAGCAGCTACCCGTCTATGCGACCTGTTGCGAGCAGACGCTGCAGCAAGAGTCATATCCGCGGGCGCAGCCGACCACGCCATCGGCGCCATTCTCCAGGATCTCGACAAAGACATCGAGTACGAGCGAAAGAAGAGCTTTTTTCGGAAGCTTCCAAATCCTGGGCTTTGCGGGTCCAAGCGCCACTCCAGGGCGGCGTCGGCTGGGCCCGCAGATGGGCGACGAACCTCGACGCTTGGAAGCCCGCCGCTACTTTTATCAGTGGCAAGTGGCCAGGACGACCCAGCAGCATTCTCGAAGGGGGAGCGGAGAGGCTGGCGAATATCTGGGACACTACTTCGACAACGCAAGTTACTCCAATTCCGAGGGACATCGATGACATGGCTGCCCTGGGACCCATGACGGGTCAGATTGCCCGAGACGCCGCCAAAAGCTTCGCCACGAGCACGGCCTCCACGTGGGATGGAGTCCACCCTAGGCACCTCGCCCTGATCACAGAGCAGCAGGCGGACCTGATCGCCCAGCTGCTCCTGATTATTGAAAGGTTAGGCTTCATGCCCTCTCAGATACAGACCATCATCTCGGTTTTTTCATGAAACACAGGCTCGCGTCCGTCAGTCAACGGCGAGTGGAGAGGCAACGCAGGCGCCCATCCTTAGCCCATCAAGCTGGTCATTACATAATGGAGCTAGTGTCCAAGCAAAGTTTAGACTGCCAGTGCTACAGCTAGCGCAACGGGCAACTGCATTCTGGAATGATCCTCTACGATCTCAGCAACTGCTATGAGCATATTAGCCGCAGCAAGCTTGCCACCAGGGTGCTCAACAATGGGTTTCCAGCTACGCTGCTAAGGATCATCTCAGCATTTACGCTAGCCCCGAGTTCGTAGCCCTTCAGGACCTCGTCGTGTCGGTCGGCAACACGGTGCGTGGGATAGCCGCGGGGTGTGGGCTTGCTACGTATCTCATACAGATGTATACCATCGGCCCCCTCGACTCCTGGACCCAGCAGAACCCTAATTTAGACCTCCACCTGTTCACAGATGACCTCCTCGTAGAAAGTCGCCTTCGATCTACATGAATAATGTCATCCCGAGGCTAGACCGTGGACCGAGAAGCCTCATCCAGTGCATCCAGCGGGATCTAAACAGTTCGGTCGCCCCCGCCAAGACTCAGATGATAGCCCCCTGCGCCGCGCCGAGAGAGGGTCTCGAGCGCAAGCTTCGAGGCCGAGCAGGTTCGTCGCTGGACATCTCGGGCCCCGACCTCGGCTGCGAGATCGCCGCAGGAGCCCCCCCAGTGCCGATGGAGAGAGGACCGCCTCGCCACCGCTAGGATGAACAAGACTAAGACGAGGACGAGGAGGCTGGGAGCTATCAGGAGGGCAGGAGGGACACAAAGACGATCTACAATACAGGCAGATTCGCGGCAACATCTTCCGGCCATGAAGTCACGGGCCTCAACGCTACGCAGCTAACCGCTGCCAAAACCTGCTGCGCCGGGACTGGGAACAAACAGATTGCTGAAACCGTGGCCTCCAAGCTCGGCCACCCCGGAGCCGCCCTCGACTCCAGAGTTGACCCCGCATTTTGTCCAGTCCAACCCTCAGCAAGCAAGAGAGGGGCAGTTTGTTAACTTTTCTCGCGCCAGCCTGCTGGACGAAATCCAGAGCCAAAGATGCTTGATATATCATAGACTGTACGTGTGAGTGTGGATCCCTCTCGGACTCCATCAGCCACCGTCTTTTTGATTGTCCCCTGGCCCATGCGGAGAGAGCCCAAGCCTTGTCGTCCGAAAAGCTGAATTTGATAGCCAATCATGACAGAGATCCGCTCCGTAGATTCGGATACCAGCAGGCGCCAGACTTCAACATTGGAGCTCCCGAGGGCACAGGGTTGAGCAGCTGCGATTTCTGGCGCAGCGACCCCACATGCTCGCTTGAAGAAGCCTTCGAGGGTCAGGTGTATGTCGGCGGCAGCAACGATCCGTATCAACACCGATCTCACCGCTCTGCAGGCTGGGCTGTAGTCTCCATGCAAGAAGGAGAACCCCACGCCATTTCTTCAGGCCAAGTAGGAGAAATTGTCCCGCATGGTTCAGGGGTGGCGGAAATGCTGGCCACTGCCGCAGCCTGCACCAGATCGCCGCTAGTACAGAAAGTCGGCACGAATTACCTCGGAGCGTTTCACCTTTATCAACAACCTGGGTACCCCAGGAAGAATGTGCATGCAAGTTTCAAGGTTCTGATGGGCAAAGCCGTCGTGTCGCCCGAGAGTTGTCTCGATAAAGTCAAAGCCAACCAGGACCTGAGCCAGGAGTTTAACGATCAGGAAGCTTCTAGATAACCACGCCAAAGGTAACGATGCGGCAAACAAAGCGGCCAAGAGAGCTGCTCAGAAGTTTTGCAGGCCTTCTGGGGCCAAGATCGAGCTGGCCAAATATGATGGAAGCCTACTTTGCCGTTTCCTGTTCATTGTCGCGAAGATGTTACCCAAGTGGCCCGCGCTGGCCCCGTGCCCTGGGAAGAAAGCCCTCGCGAAACCGCAGAGTAGAAACCCACCGATGGGAGCAGCCTCCGCTGCCCGCGCCTGGGACCCAGGGGCTGTTCCCCCTCCTCCGAGGCCTCCTCCTCCGCCTCCTCCTGCCCCTGGGGAAGCTGGAGAAACCCATCGGTGGGAGCTTGTCAACGGCCGCCACCTCTGCACGCTGTGCCGATCCACAGCTAAGAACGACGCTCAGTACCACCGTAGACGTCTCGAGCGCGGCCCTGGTTTCTGCGCTGGCCTGGCCTCGCCGGCGCAGAACCCCAGGGGCCACCGTTTGTTCATTTTTGAGTACCTGCTCAACTCGAGCACGGTAATCATGTGTTTCGATTGTGACTCGTACTCCGAATCGGGAACCAGGGGCCTGTTGTTTAGAGAGTGCACCAGATAATCTCAGTCGAACAGTGCCAGCACACAGCAGGCAATAGCGCAAGCGCTGACCCACAAGAGGATTGACCCTCGTGCTCGCCAGGTGTTTCGCCCGCCAATTCCCCTCGAACTGTTTTACCGCCAAGCGTTGGCGGCAGCCGCAGCTCCCAACCCGTCGCCTCAGGAGTAAAGACCCCCCAATGGGGTCGTGCGGATTTCAGACCCGGCAGGTAACCTGCTGTCTCGGTGCGGGGTGCGCCGTGAACTCGAACTCATCAAGCTGTGCGATGGTCCTCACCCTCCTCCTCCTCCTCCTCCTCCTCCTTCTCCTCCTCCCTTCCCGCCTCCTCCTCCTCCACTTCCCCCTCCCTCCTCCCTCCTCCTCCTCCTCCTCCTCCTCCTCCTCCTCCTCGTCCTCCTCCTCCTCGTCCTCGTCCTCCTCCTCCTACTACCTACTACTCCCCTTCTTCGCTCTCCCTCCTTTCCTCCTCCCTCCGTCCCTCCCTCCCTCCCCCCTCCTCCCTCTCCTCCCTCCCCCTCCACCCTCTCCCCCCTCTTCCCTCTGTCATCCTCGTCCTGCCCTTCTCCTTGCTCCCTCCTCCCCGTCTTCCCTCCTTGCTCCCTCCCCCCCGAGGACAGGTCCGAAACGGCCAACCGCTCTCAGCCAGCCGCTCCTTGCCCCCCTGCTGATCGGCACCTCATCTTGGGGACGGACGACACTCCGCGAGCTCCAGGGAGAAGGAGCACGAGGAGGATGAGGAGACGTACGTACCCTCGACCTGCAACTTCAGCGCCTTCCGCTCGTAAGGTGCCGCAGCGGCGGCGGCCGCGGCAGCGCGGCACCTGTCGCGCGGAAGGTGCGGAAGGAGCTGGTCGGTGGCGAGACAGGAGGAGGAGGAGGAGGAGAAGGAGGAGGAGCAGGAGAAGGAGGAGGAGGAGAAGGAGGGGGAGGAGGAGGAGGAGGAGGAGGAGGAGGAGGAGGAGGAGGAGGAGGAGGAGGAGGAGGAGGAGGAGGAAGGAGGAGGAGGAGGAGGAGGAGGAGGAGGAGAGGGAGGAGGAGGAGGAGAGGAAGGAGAGGAGGAAGAGAGCGCACGCGGCGTGCGGACGGGGCGGGCGCCTCGGCCGCGCACGCGTGATGCGGGGGGGGGGTGCGCTCGCGCGTCGCCTCCCGGCCAAAATCCAAAAAGAAGTTGTGCGGCGCCGAAGCCCGGGCTTCTTCTTCTTCTTCTTCCTCCTCCTCCTCCTCCTTATCTCCTCCTCCTCCTCCTCCTCCTCCTCCTCCTCCTCCTCCTCCTCCTCCCGCCTCCCTCCTCCCTCCTCCTCCTCCTCCTCCTCTCTCCTCCCCTCCTCCTCCTCCTCCTCCTCCTCCTCCTCCTCCCTCCTCCTCCTCCTCCTCCTCCTCCTCCTCCTCCTCCTCCTCCTCCTCCTCCTCCTCCTCCTCCTCCTCCTCCTCCTCCTCTCTCCTCTCGCCGTCCTTTTCCTCCTTCCCTCTCGTTTCTCCTCCTTCCCCTGTCTCCTCTCCCCTGCGGCGTAACCTAATTATGTTGGAGGCGCCCGCGCAAACCTGCGGGCGCCTCCCGAGCAGCAAAAAACAACGTGGCAGCCCCTGGGGCGAAGCGCCGGCCGGGCGGCGCGCCGACAGAAACACCAGCCCGGCTGCGCGAGGCGGGGCGCGGGAGGCGGAGGGAGGGCCAGCTGAGGCAACGACCTCGTCCTTGTCCTCGTCGGCGTCGTCGTCGTCGTCGTCACCGTCCTCGTCGTCCTCGTCGTCCTCGTTGTCGTCGTCGTCGTCGTCGTCGTCGTCGTCGTCGTCGTCGTCGTCGTCGTCGTCGTCGTCGTCGGCGTCTTCGTCGTCGTCCTCGTCATCGTCCTCGTCGTCGTTCTCGTCGTCGTCGTCGTCGTCGTCCTCTCCAGCCCATGCCCCCCGTGGCTCCGTGCTCCGGCCTGGCAGCCCGGCAGCTCGAGCTGAGCCTCCGAGGGTGCCCTGCTGGCCGGCGGCGTGCTCGGCGCTGCGAACCCGGAGCCGTGGCGCCGCGGGGGGCAGCCTGAGATGCGGGTACCCCGACAGGCCAGAGCCTGTTTTTTTGTTATTTCGGGCAAGTTTTTGCATGGCGTTCGCCCCCCTCCCCACCCCCCCCGCCCCCCCCCGCCCCCCCCGCCTCGCCCACCCCACTCCACCACCCCCCCTTCGCCCCTCTTCCAAGGAGTCCTGGCGTGCAAGTGCCTTGCGCCTTGCGTGAGTTCCGCCCGTGCAAGTCGCTTGCGTCTTGCTTCAGGTTCAGGCCCCCCCGCCTCGTCCATGCAGGTAAACTTGCCGGGGTGAAAAGGAGCAGCCTCCCGCTGCTGCATACGGGGTGCCTCGGGCCAGGTCGGCCCGGGAGAGCCCGGGGAGCCCGCGGCGGCGGCCCTCCCGCTCGGCCCAGAGGCACTCCAGAGGCGCGCGGAGGAGCTCACAGCCGGAACAGCGGCATGACCGTGTCGTACAGGATGCCGCAGGAGCCGCAGACCCAGACCTGCTTCGGCCCCCCCTTACAGCCAGAGCCCATCTCGGGGGAGCTGTCCCAGCCGCAGCGCTCCTCCTCGTCGCCGACGCGCTGGAGGCGCATGCTGCCGTCCTCGCCCCAGTTGCGCCCCCACGAATTCTTTATCTGCCAGTACCTGACCTCGCCGACCTTGACGCTCGTGGTCCTGCCGTAGCCGTACAGCACGACCGCGTGGCTGATGATGTTCCTCTTGTCGCAGCCCGCTGGCGTCAAGACGCCGTGGGAGTACCTCGGAGGACGGCGAGTTGAGACAGGGCAGCTCAAACTCTGTCCAGCCGCACCAGCGCCCGAGCTGCGTCCAGCCATGGCGACGAGGGCCCCCGAAGGCTAGCTGCCGTTAGCTCGACTCGCCCTCCTCTTGAGCACCAGCTCCAGTCGGATCCCGCGGCCACGGCGACTGCGACGGGCCCGTAGTTGACGAGGCCCTGGACGAGCTGCATCTCCTTTACATGCAAGAAGAGAACACGGCATGAACAGAAACTTTCGGCGTTCCGCGCAGATCTCGTGCATCGGTGCTGGGCCTCTCATCCCTGGCGCGAGGCGCCGCCAGGGGGGCGCAGCGCAGGTCCAAGGAGCACGCGCGCCTCCATACCCTCCTTATCCTGCTCCTCCTCCTCCTCCTCCTCCTCCTCGTCCTCCTCCTCCTATGCAGCTGCTGTGTTCCTCGATCCTTGTTCTCTGGGAACCTGGACCAGCCCAGCAGCCCGGTCCGCCCGCCGCCCATGCGCTGGCCCTCGCTGCTCCACTGGATCAGGTGCTTCTCCGTGCCGTCCTGCATGTGGACGGCAGCCGTGGCCACGCCCGTCCTCGCGAGCTCGCCCCACGGCTTCTTGTCCTGGGATTCGAGCCCAGACACCCTCGCCTCGGGAAAAAAAGCACGACGGGAAGCTTTCGCTGTCTTCGGCCTCCCGGGGCCCTCGCCGGGATGCCCGGGGCAGTCAAACGATGAGCCCAGATGGGGAACAAAAAGCAGCCCCAGGGGAGGTGTGCAGGCCTCGGGGGGCCCAGGGCGTGCAAAAGAGTCATGACGTCGGGGGGCCCCCTGACTTCAGATCCGCCGCTGCTCGCTTGGCGATGTCGCACGATGTGTGGGCGGGCAACTCCCGGCCCTACTTTTCGAGCTCCTTTGATGCCGGTTTCTGCCCTACTTCTGCAGTCGCCGTTTCCGCCACAGGGACCTTCGCGGAAGGATCCGCCCTGTTTTCCTGAGGCGGAGCCCGAGGCGGAACTTCCCGTCGCAATTGTCTCTGCTGTATCCTCTGGGGTGCTCTTTTGTAGTAGCTCCCAGCCGGAGAATCGACAAAGTGCGGGTCCGAAGCCAGGGTCTGAGCAGGCACAGCATCACCACACCACTTCGGCGGCCCGCGCGGATCTCCCGGGTCGAGCCCGACCGCAGGAAACCTTCCACGAGAAACCCAACCCTGAAACCCCAGGACGTCCATGGATCTTTGGTGTGGGAACCTCGCGCTCTTCCCTTGGGAAACTATCGAACCCACAGCAAACCCAGGGCACCCTGGAGGCAAGCAGGGCGTTTCTTGGCACGGGTCTCCAGTGCCCAGACATGCGACGTCCTTTTTTTTTCAATGCGGGGTCCCTGTCCCTGGAAGTCCCTTATTTTTTTCCCTGGGACCGGTTTTTCGTTCTGAGTCGTGTGTTAACGGTCCCGAGGCCCGGCGAGGGCCTCCCGAGGCCGAAAACGGCCAAAAACCTGCCTCCGGATCTTTTTTAACGACGCGATCATTTGTTTACGAAGCAGGATGTCTCTTGGCATGGGTCCCCACTGGGTATGCCCCGCGGGCGCCCTGGACGGCGCCTCTCGGGCGCTGCTCGCGGCGCGAGGGGAGCCAGCGTGTTGCGCGGAGGGGCCTGGCAGGGACATCCGCGCGCTGACTTCTGAGAGGTAAGACCCAAACATGATCGCGTCGAAAAAAAAATCAGGACGGGAAACTTTGGGCCGTTGTCGGCCTCGGGGGGCCCTCGCCGGGCCTCGGGACCGTCAAAAAGCGACTGAGGATGCAAAACCAGTCCTGGGGAAAGTGTCGAGATTTCCAGGGGCCCCGCATTGACAAAAATCAGGACGTCGCATGTGGGGAGGCAACTGCTGGGAGGTCTTGGGATAATTCGCCGGCTCAACGGGCCAGAGGCGTGCTGAGATCTCCGGTAAGTACTTAACAATATGTCTAGTTCGCGCGCGCGGGGCGGCCCCTGGGGGGCCCTGGGCGAAAAGTACCCCGGCCGATCCCTGGCCGGGTCCCGGGCGATCCCCAGGGGGGAGGCTATTTTTCGCCACCCCTCACGAGGATCGTGGCCTCCGAGGGGGGGGGCTGCAATCGACTACTCCCGCCCCAAGGGGCCCCCAAGAGCTCCCCAAGATGCCCCAGGGGAGCCCAATACGCCGCCAAGGAGCCCCAAGACGCTCTCAAGAAGCCCCCAAGAAGCCCCCAAGACGGCCCCAAGAGGCCTCAAATAGTGCTCCAGGGCGGGCGGAATGAGCGAAGCGATTAAATAAAACCCCAGTGGTGGCCCCAAGAGGCCCGAAGGAGGCCCCAAGAGGCCCTCAAGAGAGCCCAGGAGGGCCCCTAGAGCCCCCACGATGCTTCCAAGAGGCAACCAAAGAGCCCCTAAGAGGCCACAAAAGGCCACGAACGCGCAGGCAAACGCCTGCGATGGCATAATACGGGCCGGCGGAGTGAGCGAAGCGATTCAATAAAACCCGATTGGGGGGCTAGTGCACCGGATTGTGCCGCGGAGCAGGCAGGGCTGAGCCATATTAAGCCAGATCAAGCGGGATCAGTCGCGACTAGGCCGGATTTTACCCGATGTCGGACCAGGGCGAAGCCTGAATTTGACCTCCCAGGAGTTGCATCCCAAGAAGGCGATGCCCCATGCCGCCTTGCCGCCTTCCCGTCCTCTGGGCACCTGGCCTGCGCCCCCCCGGGCAGCGAGGGGAACTCCGCCTCGCCGACAACCTCGGCCTGCAGCGCATACTCGTAGGCCAGCTCCGCGGTGGCCCCGTCGCAGCCGCCAGAGCCTGTGCACTTTTTTACCATCCACAGAGCGCCCCCTGGCAGAGAAAGGACGAGGAGGAGGAGGGGGAGGAGGAGGAGGGGGAGGACGAGGAGGAGGAGGGAGGGGGAAGGCGAGGGACAGGGGGAGGAGGAGGAGGAAGGAAGGAGGGGGAAACATGCAACTAATCAGTCGGGCTTCCACGGGCGCGCCGCAAGGCGCCTCCGCACAGGTTGGGGTTGGGGGTGCAGGCGATGATCTGGGCGACAGAGAACTGGTGCGACCTGTTGTTGAGCTCTGCGTGGGCGTCGAGCACGGTGGTGGCGGCGAACGCCCAGCAGCTGCCGCACTGCCTGGGGATGCAAAGCTATGAGTTCGGACGTATTCGATGTTTATGCGTGTATACCTATCATTAGACACCTGTGCATGCGTAGTTAGAGGTGTATGAATATGTGCACATCTAAACCAGATGCGTGTATGCATATGGTTATAGACACCTACGTATGTACACATACATATGTAGATATTGTAATATAATGCAGACATAACTATGAAGCTCGTTTAAAGGAGGATGTGTATTTGTATATACGTTGAAGTGATGGGTCATCATCCATCTGGTATCTACGTATATGATAATGTGTTATATACATGCGTAGATGTGTGTAAGTATATAAGCATTAGCCATGTTGTATGCATATGCGCATGCATACGTGTGCAAGTGTGTGTATATGCTTAATGTGTCTGTCCACTATATGTATATATACGCATGTATGAATAGATGCAAGGATGCATGTACGCATGTAGGCATGCATGTATGTACGTATGTGCGTTACGATGTGTATATGTACGTGCGTAGGTATGACAGAGCGAGTTTCACGGGCGTTTGCTTTGGGAACGTTCGGCGGCAGCGCGTTTCGAACCGGGGGGTGGCCCCCCCCCAACACTCGGCGCCGTCGATCAGAACCAGCGGGACTCCCCTCCCCCCGAACCCCCCCTCCCGATCCCTCCCCCTCCCCCATCCCAGGGGGGGGGGGGGTCCAAATCCCCCCCCTCCCGGCGCCGGCGCTGGCGGCCGCCGCAGCGCCAACGCAGCGACGATGACCAGAGAAGGCCAAGGGTGGGGGGGTTCAACCCCCCCCCCCTTCGCGCCGGCGCCGTCGCCGACGCTGGCGGCGGCCAGCAGCGCCGACGGCGGGGACGCAGCGACGATGACCAGAGAGGGCCCAGAAGCCGCAGAGGGAACACACAAATCGCCATACCGAGCCCTCGCATGCTCCCCAGACGCCCCCGTAACCCTTCTGACGAGACCTCAAGAGGCATCCATTCGAACTTTGACGCTTTGCCAAACACGCAGTGGCGGGAAGAGCCGAAGGCCACACCACCACCACCACGACAAACCACCACGCCACCACTACCACCACCGCCACCATCACGACCACCACCATCACCACCTCAACCCACCACCACCACCACCACCACCTCCAAACCACCACACAACCACCACACAACCACAGCCACCACCACCACCACCACCACCACCACCACAACAGCTCACCACCACCACCACCACCACAACCACCAATACAACAACCCACCACCACTACCACCACCATCACCACAATCTACCACACCACCACCACCACCGCCACAACCACCACCACTACTACCAGTAGCACAACCCACCACCACCAGGACCACAACCACCACGAATCACCTCACCACCACCACCACCGCCACTACCACCACCACCAGCACCCCCGCCGCCGCCGCCAGCCGCCGCCGCCGCCGGCACCGGCCCGAGGAGAGGGAAGGAGGAGAAGTAGGGGAGGGGGTGGGGCGGTTCGAACCCCCCCCTTCCATCCGGGGGGGGGGGCCGGTTCCAACCCCCCCCTCCAAGCGACCACAGGAGGCGCTCTTTCGTAGGTCTGCATGTATGTGCGCGCTCAAACCACCTTAATACAACTTGCACCCCCGTTGGTGATAATTCCAACCAGCCGGGGAGAACAACCCACCAACTTTTATGAGAAACCCCACAAGCGTCTCAGAGGCGTCGCGCGGGCGTCTTAAACACGTCGTGCGTGCGTCTGAGAGGCGTACGGGTGTCATCGAAACATCGCGCGGGCGTCTTAAGAACGTCGCACGGGCATATTAAACATATTAAAGCGTCGTGCGGGCGTCTTCGAGGCGGCGCGCGGGCGTCTTAAAGGCGTCGTACGGGCGCTTCAGGGGTGTAGAACGGGCGTTTTCGAGGCTTTGCACGGCCGTCTTAAGGGCGTCGTACGGGCGTCTTCGAGACGTCGTACGAGCGTCTTAGGAACGTCGCACGGGCGCCCTGGAGGCGTCGTACGCGCGTTTCCGAAGCGTTGCGCGGGCGTCTTACGGGCGTCATCAATGCGTCTTAAAAGCGTCGCACGGACGTCTTGGAAGCGTAGCACGGGCGATTTAGCGGCGTCGTGCGAGCGCCTCAGAGGCGTCGTACGGGGTTTGTCCAGGCGTCGCACGGGTGTCTTAGAGGCGGCGCACGGGCGTCTTCGAGGCGTCTTACGGGCGTCTTAGAGCGGCGCACGGGCGTCTTAGAGGACGGCGTGCCCGCGACGGATGCGCGGGATGATGATGCTGATGCTGATGATGATGAGGAGGATGCTGGTGAAGGTAGTGACGAACGCCAGGATGTGCTGATGATGATGATGGTGGTGGTGGTCATGATGGCGATGACGATGATGATGATGATGGTGATGATGGTGATGATGATGATGAATCCGCGCGCTCTCCAACCCTTTCAACATGTTTAACCGTTAGTGCCTTAAGCCAACAACCCCTCAAACCATTAAGCCCTCAAAACCAACTCTTTAAACGCTTTAATCCTTAAGCCCTGAGGCCAGGAAGCCATAGAACTCCTGATCCCTTTCGGCCATGAGCCCTCAAACACCTAAGGCCTGAGACTAACCCCATTTAGCCTTTGACCCCTTCAGCCAAGAAACCTTCAAACACTTATTGTCCCCTTTTTTCCCAAATAAAAAACCTGAAACCCTAATCCAGGCAGTCACCTTAGCTTCTGGAACAAATGTGCAGACATATGCACAGTATTAATTCTTGCGAGATCCTGACATCGCCCCGCAAGTACACAGTGACGTTGTTTGGCCGGTTGGAACTCGTACCAGCGATTTTTTTCGAGCCAATGGGAAAATGTACCAGTCAGTGGGGATACGTCCCAGCCGGTTGGAATTCATACCGCATGCGGGGAGAGGGGGGGGAGGCAAAAGGGACAGAAAGAACGAAAGACAAGTGGGTGATGAAGACGATCGAATGATTAACTGTTTCTGGGCGGCATTACGGATAGCTTGGGTGTGAAGGGGGTTCGTGGTATCGGCCTCTGCGAAGCGGAGAACTGGCAGCAGCGAGCTCCGAAAAGTTGTCCAATCCTCTGCTGCTGCTTGCTCCACCCAATTCAGCCAGGGACGGCCCGCCCTCCTGCGTGTCCGAAGCCTGGGCTGCAGTGCAACAGTTTCGAACGTAACTCCATGCGCAAGGTGACTGGGTTCAGCTTGAACGATGACTTGGTCGAGTAACACTTTGTTCCTGGCGTGTGCTGCGCTGAACTTGACGAAGGGTCTGTGTTCTCGTCCTCGCTGTCGGAACGCGTCTTCGGCCGCTTGGTTAGCTCGTTCGCTCGTGCGGGTCATGTTGGCATCTGCTGCTTACTGTTTCAAGATTATGAAGGGTCTTTTGGGCTGAAAAGCGTCGGTTCGATCCAATGTGCCCTGGGTGAGCTGGGCGAATTCGAAGCCGTACAGGAGCTTCGATTTGATGACTGCGTCTTGCACTTGCAATTTGGATTTGGCGGGGCGCCGCTGTGCCTACAGGACAGGTCCATGTTCTTGAGCGTTGCCATCAAACCCCAATTATCGCTTAGACTTCCCGCGTGCTGTCGCAACCTTCGTTCAGGCGGCATCCCTGGTATCTTACCTCGTCCATCGGTTTTACCCTCGTGCCACCAGCAACATGTATAATAGGATGCCCATGGGCTGCGACAACCTCGCACTTCCCCCTATCCAGTTTCACTCCATATCGGGCCTCTTCGTGTTCGATCGCTGGCACCATCCATCACATAAAACTAGATGGAACAATTCGCTAGAAGGTACACTGTTATACTAGAATGCGCTACACACGAATCAAAAACCGTAAACTATTATGTGATATGGTAAAATGTAGTATGCGTGATACATTATAGTTTAAATTAATATACGAGTGGACAGGTGTATAATATACATATACACATACATATGCATATGCATATGCTTATACATATACATAGACCTGTACCCATGGCTGTACCTATACCTATACCAACACATATACATATACACATACAAATTTACCTTGTATATACATATACTAGAACCACGCGCGCGCTCCGCGCGCGCTTAGGTTCTGGCCTTTTTCATCCTTTTCGCTTTCTTCCTCGTCTTCGTCCTCGTCATCGTCGTCGTCCTCGTCGTCGTCCCCCTCCTCCTCCTCGGTCTCCTTCTCCTCCTCTTCCTCCGCGTCCTTTTCCTCCTCCCCCTCCTCCTTCTTCTCCTCTTCCTCCTTCCTCGAAGGCCTTCTGGGAGCATCTGGGAGCTCTTGGGTGGCGTCGCGAGGCCGCCGGGGGCCCCGCACCCTCATGGGGGAATGGGCCTGCCCCCCCCCCAGACCTTGGAACGCAGGTAATATAAGCCGCTGGGAGCCCCGGCACCCCTATGGGGGACTGGGCCTGCCCCCCCCCCCAGGCCCTGAAACGCGGGTTACGTATATATATACACATATATATATATACATACATATGTATATATGTATATACATACATATATACATATATATATATATATATATATATATATAGCACTCGTGCTTCCGCGCTGCGCAGTGTCCAACGACTGACTGTACAGCCTTGTGAGTTGAAAGGAAGAGCGCCCTCGCAGCTAAGGCGCTGTCCTCAGCCGCTTCTGGCAGCGACCACTTTACAGCAGGTAGCTTCGCTTGAATGTAATAAATGTGAAAGGCTACGACTGTGCGTTCAAGAGCTAAGCGCTGAGGAAATTCATCTGATTCTCCGCTGCAGAGGCCTAGAAGAGCAAGAACTGACTGTGGTGCGTACAATCGTGAATGCCAAACAGTGCACACAGCATGCCACAAGTGCGAAATATAACTCTCTCTCTCTCTCTCCGTCTATATATATATATACATATTCGCCGCCGCTACGGGGGAGGAGTGGGGCACAGGCGCGGAACAGGGAGACCATTGTGGCGGCGCAGCGGCGGCACAAATGCCCACAGCGAGCGAAGCGAATCCCCACCCGCCCGCGCTGAAGAGCTGCTGTGCCGACATGTTGGGAGGTTCGAGTAGGAGATCGACGACAAACTCGATTTACCCCGAAATTGGTATTTGCTTGTCGAATCCACGAAAGATGCGTAGAATGACCCGCATATGTGTAGAGCATTCTCCGCATGCATTCGCAGCGTCGACGCAGAAACCCATTCCGGGGTCCATCAATTCTGTAGACGATCCCCTACCCGAGTGGTGGGAGGGGGTCAAGTTTCACACCCTGGCCGCCCCTGGTCCCTGGACCGCTTGATGGACTCCAGGTGGCCGTAGCTCACAGTCTCTGGCAGCTCGACCCCCTCGGTCGCACGCAGGTTCGCCAGCGGAGCGGAGCCAGCGCTGGACGGTGAGGCGGCCCGCCTGTAGCCGCGCAGGACCTGCAGCTCTGGCTCGGTCCAGTCCGCCATGTGGTTGACCTGGGCCGCCCAGGTCGACGACGACGGACGACGACGACGACGACGACGACGACGACGACGACGACGACGACGACGACGACGACGACGGACGGACGACGACGACAAAACAACGACGACGACGACGACGACGACGACGGACGACGACGACAAAACGACGACGACGACGACGACGACGACGGACGACGACGACGGACGACGGACGACGACCGACGACCGACGACGACGACGACGACGGACGACGGACGACGACGACGACGACGACGACGACGACGACGACGACGACGACGACGACGACGGACGACGGACGACGACGACGACGACGACGACGACGACGACGACGAAGGAGGGGCGCCGCAGAGTTCGGGCCGCCATGTGGCCGACCTGGGCCATCCAGGGGTGCTCGTCGGCACAGTTGTGCCTGGCGATGAGCGAGGCGCGGCTCTCGAAGAGCTCCCTGCGCCTGCCGTACTCCTCGGGCGAATACGCTTTCCCGTACTCCCTCACGAAGTCCTCGAAGGTCTCCAGCGACAGGCCCGCGCAGGCAAGCGAGAGGATGCTCGAGTTGGACGAGGTCTTCAGCCCGCGGGTCTGCACAACGTGCCCCGCGCAGGCAGCCAGCGCGAGGATGCGCGCCATCTGCCGGGCGAGCGGGGAATACAGTACACGGGTCACGAAAGCAACTCCGAGGGTTCGACGCGGAAGGTTGCTCGACACGAAATGGCTGCGGATGGGGGGGGGGCTGCTCCCTTGGACCTGTCCTGGGGTGCGTTCCATCAGAATCCCGAGCAGGATCCAGCAATGGCGACAGGGGCCGCCTTCCAGGAGGCCACGACGAGGATACGAGGATTACACCCTTCCTCTTCCCTTCGCGGAGGCTGATGCTTTGAGTAGGGCTGGGGGGTCAGGTTTGCAGAACACCCCAAACGGACGTCAAGGGGCGCAACCAGCCTGTTCGGTCAAGCTGAACTTGATGCACCACACCCAGCGTCAAGCCAAAACATTGCACATGAGTCATGAGCGAATGGTTGGATGTTGCACATACTCGTCGGCTTCACTGGCGAGGCGTTTGACCACCTTGACGTTCCTGTTTTGGTGGCCCTGCAGAGGAAGGCGCTCTCTGACCCTCGGCCCTACTCAACTGATGCTCCCGGTGGCGGGGGGCAAAGGAAGACAGCAACGCCCTGCGATAATCCGGAGGACGTGACCGTGCCAAACACAGAGACCTTGCTTGCGGCATGCCAAACGCGGCGCCCTGAGCACCGAAAGCCGCCGCAGGCTTCAGCGCTCCCAGCCGAGACAGCGACGTAAACCTACAGCAGCGCTGTGCGGCAACTACTTCGGAGATGGTTTCTGACCCCGCGTGGTTGAACCTTGAGTGGCCGCGGCTGCCCGATGTCTCCTACTCCTCCTCCTCCTCTTCCTCCTCCTCCTCCTCCTCCTCCTCCTCCTCCTCCCCCTCCTCCTCCACCATCCTCCTTCCCGTCCTCCTCCTCCTCCTCCTTCCTACCTCCTCCTCCTCCTCCCTCCGCCTCCTCCTCCTCCTCCCTCCTCCTCCTCCTCCTCTTCCTCCCTCCTCCGCCTCCCTTCTTCTCCCCTCCTCTCTTCTCCTCCCCATTCTTCCCTTCCTCCTCCTCGTCTCCTCCTCCTCCTCCTTTTTATTCCCCTTCTTTCTCCCCTTCCTCCGTTTCCTCCCCCTTCCTCCGTCTCCTCCTCTTCTTCCCCTTCCTCCCCCTCCTCCTCCTCCTCCTGCTCCTGCTCCTCCTCCTCCCCCGTTGATCCTGTTCCTCCTCCCTCCTCACCCGCGGACCGCAACCCCTCAGTCCACTACATTTGGCCCCCGGGAGCAGCCCTTGCCCAACGCCTGGCCCTGAGCGCCAGGCAGCGCCAGAAAGCCTAGCGCCCAGACTCCTCTTCCCTCCTGCTTCTGCTGCTCCTGCTGCTGCTGCTGCTGCTCCTCCTCCTCCTCCTCATTATCCTTCTCCTCCTCTTCTTCCGCCTCCTCCTCGATCCCGCGTCCTTGCAAAAACAACTCATTCCTGTCGCACTCCCCAGACGTGTCTTTAGGGCGGGCTGGGCGTTTCGCTTTAGGCTTCCTCACACTGTATGGCCCTGGATTTTGAAAGTTACAACTGCTTCAAGGATGGAGAGCGGGTGGTTTTCAAAAGTGGTTCTCGCTTCAGCACCGCGAACATCCGTCTTCAAAGTTTGCCACATGTTCAAAGATGTAGGGAGGGTGGTTTTCAACATGTGACGCTCGCCTTGGCGACGCGCACTTTCTTTTTCAAAGCATTTAGCAGCTTCACTGATGGAGGGCGGGTGGTAAGCAACATTTGACTCTCGCTTCAGCGCCGCGCGCACTCGTCTTGAAAATTCGCAACAGTTTGGAAAACGGGTCCTTCTCAAACTGATGGTCTCGCCTCAGCGCTGCGCATAGGTGTCTTGCAAGCTTGCTGCAGCTTAACCAATGGGTTCCTTGTCACAATGTGGCTCTCGCCGCAGCGAGTCGTACATTCCTCTTGAACTTCGCAGCAACTTAAAGGACTCGCTCGGTTGAAGTACCAGAGCTTGCGTTCTGGAGCGATGTTGGATTATCCGTATGCAGCAGTCACGTTGGTTCGCGGTGTCCGAGCCCCAAGAATGACATTCTGGCGAGATTTCTCATGCAAGGACGCAACAGACCTATTGACTCGCGGCGTTGATATTCCAGGAATGGTGTTTGACACGATTGGGGATTCTCAGACGTTGTCTTTCCACAGGGCAGTTCTGGCAGTGAACAGAAATGGTGTAGATGCCTCGAAAGAGGGAGCTTCGATGGAGAGCTCATTGTAACATCGAAGATACGTCTTGGGTTTGCACTGGACCTCCTCCTCATCCTCCTCCTCCTAATCCTCCTCATCCTCCTCCTCCCACCCTCCCTCCCTCCCTCCCTCCCTCCCTCCCTCCCGCCTTCCCTCCCTCCTCCCTCCTCCCTCCTCCCTCCTCCCTCCTCCCTCCTCCCTCCTCCCTCCTCCATCCCTCCTCCTCCTCCTCCTCCTCTTCCTCCTCCTCCGAGCACGCCCAGCGCGGAGCCGATCGGAAAGCAACAGCCTCATCCTCCCACCACCTTCTCGGATACTCCTCCTCCTTCTCGTTCTTCTTCTCCTCCTTCTCCTTATCCTTCTCCTCCTCCTCCTCCCAATATCGTCGGGAGGGCCTGGTCCCCGCTGCGCGCGCGGCGGCCGAAGAGCTCGAAATGGCCGACCCGGATGAACGACGGCGCCGCCCGGGTGGTCATCGCGCAGGGCTCCTGGCGGAGGATGACGGCAGGGAGGAGGCAGTTGGAGCAAGTGAGGAGGTAGGAGGGGGAGCGGAGGTGGGGCGGAGGGTCTCATCTTCGTGCTGCTGCTACTGCTGCTCCTCCTCCTCCTCCTCCTCCTCCTCCTCCGCCTCCTGCGCCCCTCCTCCTCCTCCTCCTCTCCGCCTCCACCTCCCTCCTATCCTCCTCCATCCTCGCACACCTCCTCCTTCTCTCCTCCTCCTCCTCCTCCTCCTCCTCCTGATTATCCTCTTCTCGTCCACCTTCTCCTCCTCCTCCTACTTCTCCTCCTCCTCCTCCTCCTCACACCGCCTCCTCACATCTCTTCCTCCTCCTCCTCCTCCTCCTCCTCCTCCTCCTCCTACTCCTACTCCTCCAGATTCGAACCCCGATCGAGCAGCAAAGGCCTCGATGACAACCGGTTGCGTTCGAGCCGCGAGCCGAAGCCGAATCCGGGCCCGAGCCGAGCGTGGGCTCGGCCCCGCGCGCACGCGCACGGCAGGGCGCGAACGAGGATGAGGATGAGGAGGAGGATGAGTATGAGTATGATGATGATGATGATGATGATGATGATGATGATGATGGTGATGATGAGGAGGAGGAGGAGGAGGAGGAGGAGGAGGAGGGAGAGGCATGGAGGATGGGATGAGGATGAAGGATGATGATGATGATGAGATGATTGATGCTGATGCTGATGTGATGCTGATGCTGAGGTGAGCTGATGATGCTGATGATGATGATGATGATGATGATGATGATGATGATGGTTGTGGGGTGATGATGATGATGATAAGCATGATTGCATGAGGATGAGGAGGAGGAGGAGGAGGGAAGGAGAAGGAGGAGGAGGAGGATCGGGAGGAGGCGAGGGAGGAGAGGAGAAAAAGAGAAGAAGGAGGAGGAGGAAGAGGAGGGGGCAAGAGGAGGAGGGGGTGAGAGGAGGGGGAGGGAGGAGGAGGGACGAGGACGAGGAGGAGGAGGAGTGGGAGAAAAAGAGAAGGAGGGAGGAGGGGGGAAAGAGGGGCAGGGTGAGTGAAGGGGAGGAGAAAGGAGGAGGAGGGAGGAGGAGAGGAGGAGGAGGAGGAGGTTTGAGGAAGAGGAGGAGGAGGGAAAAGGAAGGGGGAGTAGGGAGGGTCAATCATGGGAGGAGGAGGGTAATGGGAGGAGCGGAGGAGGAGGAGGAGGAGGAGGAAAAGGAGGAGGAGGACGAGGAGGGAGGAAGAGGAGGAGAGCAGGAGGAGGGGGGAAGGGGAGAGGGGGAGGGGGAGGGGAGAGGGGGAAAAGGAGCAGGAGGAGGAGGAGAGGGGGGGCGGAGGCGGTGAAGGAACAGAAGAAGGAAGCACCCTCCCCTCTCCTCCTCCTCCTCCTCTCCTCCTCCTGCTCCTCATCGTTCTCCTGATGACTGATCTTTCTCGTACACCTCACCCTGCAGCCTCATCTTCCTCCTCCTCCCCCTTCCCCTTCTGCTTAGTACTTCATTCCCCTCCTCCCTGGCATCCGCCGATCGGTTTCTTCAAGCCGCGGCCTCAAGAAGGTACCGCTTCCCTGGTAGTGGTTTTGAGACCCAGATCAATGTGTGATTGACCCGGGGCCTGAAAACGTTCCCCGAGGGTCGAAATCCACAAACAAAAAGGCTGGCTGAGGAAATCAAATCGTCGGTGACCTGGGCCTCCATCGTGCAGCCTCCTCCTCCTCCTCCTCATTATCCTCCTTCCCCCCAAGAACAAGCGAGCGCTCCCAATCAGGGCGCTGGCGCCAGCGCCAGCGAACCAACTCCTCCTCCTCCTCCTCCTCCTCCTCCACCCCCCCCCCTCCTCGTTCATCCTCCTCCTCTTCCTCCCCTCCTCTCCTCCCTCCACCCTATCTCCTCCCCCTCCTCCTCATCTCCTCCTCCCTCCTCCCTCTCATCCTCCTCCCTCCTCCTCCTCCTCCTCCTCCTCCTCCTTCTCCTCTTCTTATTAGTGTTACTATGTTTATTATTCCTATTCTTCTTACGAATATAATGATTATGATTAGTGTTGTTCCTCTTATTATTATTATTCCTCCTCCTCCTCCTCCTCTTCTTCCTCCTCTTCGTCGTCCTCCCCCGCCTCCTCCTCCTCCTTCTCCTCCTCCTTCTGCTTCTCTCTTCCTCCTTCTCCGCCTCCCTCTTCGGCCGCAGAACCGCTTTGGGCTACTAGTATCATGGCAGTTCCATGCCGAATCGTGGGAGAAGCTGGGCAAGGCCTCAGGACCAAGAGTTCCTCCCATAGACCACCCAAACCAGAATTACCTCTCCCTCCCTCCACCTCCTTCTCCTTCTCCTTCTCCTCCTCCTTCTCCTCCTCCTCCTCGTCCTCGTCCTCCTCCTCCGCCTCCTCCCTCCTCCTCCTCCTCCTTCTCCTCCTCCTATTCCCTCCTCCTCCTCCTCCTCCTCCTCCTCCTCCTCCTCCTCCTCCTCCCCCTCCTCCTCCCACCTCTTCCCCAGGGAGGTGGGGCCGCCCAGGCTGGTCGTCGCGCGGGGCTCCTCCTGCAGCACGTCCCCGCCGTGCTTTTGCGACGCGGACTGCTTCTGCGCCTCGCTGTACCAGGGCCTGCCCCGGGGGGGCCTCAAGGCCCTCCGGCGGCAGGCGGAGGAGACAGGCGGAGAGGGAGGAGGAGGAGAAGGAGGAGGACGAGGAGGAGGAGGAGGAGAACGAGGAGGAGGACGAGGAGGACGAGGAGGAGAAGGAGGAGGAGGAGGTATTCGGACCCAGCTCTCCGACGACATGTTGTTTCGACCAGCGTTTGTTCCTCCACCTCGTCTCACGAGGCCGCATTCCGAACCAGGGGCCCTTGAACATTGACCTGGGACGAAGAGAACTGCAGCCGCGGAAGCGGCCGAAGCCGCTGGTGGAAGAGAAACACATCAGCGCACGCCAGGGCGAGGAGAAGCGGGACCCTAGGATTCTATGACTCCAGGCTGGCCTCGCGCGTTCCCCGAGAGGGCACGAGGTCCAGGCAGAGAGAAGAGCGGCAGCCACCGACACGACGGCGACGGCGAACGGCCCGCGGCGACGACGAGGCCAGCAGACGAACGAGCGCAGCGACGACGGCGACTCCGGGCGCAGAGCCCACGGCCTTCGAGAAGCACCTCCCTACCTCCAGCCCCCCCTCTGGCTCTCCCTCCTCCAGCCCTCCCCTCCCTCTGGCCCTCCGGCCTCCCAGGCCTCTCCCACTCCTCCAGCCCCCCCCCCCTCCTCCCTCCAGTCCTCCCTCGGGAGGAGGAGGTCGCCGAGCGTCCCTGGACGACCCCGTCAGCAAACCTGGAGGCCTCTGGAGGCCCCCGAGGCCCGAAAAGGGCCGTCGACCATCGATCGAAGACCCTATGCGAACTTCGACCCTCAAGCCCTCGAACCTTCACCCTCGAACCTCGGTCCTAGATCCTCCTCCTCGAAAGCTCGGTCCTCGACCCTCCTCCTCGAGCACCCCCACACCCGCCGGCCGTCACCCTCGAAATCCTCGTCGGGGATCCGACTTGTTGTACGCCACCACCACCCCACAAACAAGCTGGTCCAGCACAGGATCGTGGAGCAAGGGCTGCACACAAGAATGGCATCCCCCGGGGGCACGATTGTGGCACGCCGCCTCCCACCAAGCCGCAAGCTGGTCCAGCACAACTTCTTTTTACGCCGCAGCGCGGCAGAGGCAGACCGCACGCGCGCTCAGGCGGTCAGGGCAACGGTTAAGTCGGGCTTGTCCCTCTACAGGGGGAACATTCAAAATTCGTCAAACAATAGGCAGGGGACTATTTCTTGAGTATTGTAGGGCATCTTTTGCATATTTTTTGAGTGTGTTATATTTTTCGTCCAAAATCCCCCTGTAGGGGGACAGCCCCGACCTGAGGCAACGGGAAGCGCAGATCAACCGGCGGCAGAAGGGGAAGACAGGCGAAAGCGGCCGCGAGGGAAGGGGGGGGAGGGGAGGGCACTCACATGGCGGGGTGCTGCGCTGGTCCAACACAAGGTACGCGCGCGGGGGCGTGGGCCACACACGGGCCCCCGATCCGACCTCGAGCTCTCGACGGAGACCTCCACCCTCGACCGACGACGGGGAGCTTCAGCCCTCGAGTCTTCATCCTCGAACCTCGGCCCTTGAGCCCCAGAACCCCGACGTCGTGATTCTTTCACAACGTCGACACCCAAAGGTCTGGACCTCTTCCCCGAGACCGGTTTTTCATCCTGAGGCCCGGGTCGATGCAACGCTGGCTCTGCAGGATTCTGCAAGATCTGGCGTCCG